TTTCTTAAGTCCATAGATTATTTATATTTTTATATATTAATTACTGTTGCTTATTTTATGTTTCCAAATTGTTTACATTTAAATGTTGTAAACAACTATTTGAAAAGAAAAGGAATTGTTGGCCAAAACGGCACCACCACTAGCAAGAATTTTGTCAAAACTTCCGAGATAAAAAAACCCCATCCTCCTCAGTGAGCCTCAGTTGACTTGGTTTTTTTTATGAATTTAATTTCCACGGGATTATTTTAAATCAAGTGCTCTTGTACTCTGGAATTAATAAATCATTTTATATGCAATTACGTTTGGATGTACTCAGCGATGTAAGAGAGGTTTTGCCTTGAAAAGTTAATTGCGTTCTCGTGCTAAATTATTAGATCTTTATTTACAGGCCCGATCGATGGTCTGTTTATTGCACGGCGCGTCCACTTCTTTTAGCTCATCTGCCATTAGACTCGTAAAATATATACCTGTCTCGCGCTTTTTTTTTGTATAATTATGCCCCACTCGTCTTGAGACGGCGGCGCGTTACTCAATTAAACACACACACGAGTTCGCAAAGGCTGTGGCCAGCAGCAAAACGCTGAAGAGTGAAAGTTACTTGGCAAAGCAGCCTCCATGCGAACTGCTCTGGATGCTCGATTTTTTTTTTAGCCAACTCTTGATATATTATACACGTTTAAATTCAAACATGGCGAGGAGCAGAGCGACCATCAAGGTGAGCAGGCAAGAAACTCGGTTGACATTCCGTCCGTGCGACTCCCTGCCTATGCTCCGAAGCGAGATCTCGGGACGAGAATAACACACTGCTCGAGACTTCTCTTTCCATTGAAAGCCAGTTTTTTTCGCACATCCTTTGAAAATGCAAATGACCTGAATTTTACTTACTTAGTTTCACTCTCAGCGAATTTGTAAATAATTAAAAATTTCTTTTCTTATATAATATATTTCGAAGAAAAATTTTTAAAACAAAATCATGTTTATTGTTCAAGTTTCAGAAATATTCTTGCTAGTGGTGGTGCCGTTTTGTCCAAAAATTCCTCAATCGTATGAAAAAAATGTGATCTTAAAATTTGCACAAATGAACAACAATAATTATTTATTTAAAAATCCATCAGAGACAAGAATTTGGAAATTAATTTATAAAGGATTTGGCCATTATTCCATTTTATTAATTACTAAATCAGTTAGCAATATTAAAATAATAAATCTTTACTTTCTTTCTCTGTTTTATTTTTATTTTATACATATTAAGAAGTAATTAAAGCCAACGGTCTGATAGGACTTTCTGAATGGCACTGAAATTTTAGAATAATTGAGTGTGACGCTTGACATAATTACCTTGTTAATTTAAATTTTCTACATTGTCAAAAAATAATGCCGCTCAGCATGAAATGCCTTTTTCGTCGGCCTTGCATACTTGGCGTGCACATCTGCAATATTTTATTCTTTACAATTGTATGCATGTTCTAAATGTACGCTCTGGAATTTCATGTTCACGATCGCACTCCAATTCGTCCTTTAAAATGCGTCGCCTTTCCCTCGGAGTGTCGTGTTCGCCGCGAGTAATCACAAAATGTAATGGTTCCGAAGACACGAGCAAGGTTAGGCCGGGAACGAACTTATAAAAGCGAACAACAAGTCGAAAAAGTGAACGCGCGCGCCCGTGCTTCGAGGATGAAAGTTGCAAAATGAAGCCATCAAAAGTTTTTTCTCCTTTTTTATAGATGCTAATGGCTTGTGTTTTTGCAGTGGTGCCTCCGAGCGAAGATTCGACCCCTCTGCCCACAAAGGAGGAAGAGGGCTTGCCACAGTGGGCCATTGCAGTGATTGTCATCGGTCTTGCATCGCTGCTCTTTGTCATCATATTCGGCGTTTCGGTGGTAATTATTGGCCTCTCCTATTTGACCTTAATTAAAATAAAAATTAAGCTAGTAAAAATAATTTCAAATCTGCTTTGAATATTAATTTTCAAAAGGTATTATTATTATTACGCAACTTGCAGTGCACAAGCGCTTTACGTGCTGCATAACCTTTGCTCTGCGCAGGGGCTAAATCTAAAATATTTAAAATTCAAAAACAGTTTTTTTTAAATCTTCTCAATCAATTCATTAAAAGTTAATTGGTCAATTATGAAATTTGAAATTATTTCTGCGTTTTTATTTACAAAAAAAAAAAATGTATTTTTCTTTTTGCAGCTCATCAACAGACAACAGGCGCAGCAGTCAAAGCAGCCGGTCATTCTGTCCGACGCTATGCTCAGTGAGCTGAGCAAGGACCACATGGGCGGCTATGATAACATGGCAGCCGTCGATGACCACTACGGGCTCGACGGATGGGACAACAGACCTAGAGAACCTGAACCTCGATATGCTTCAAAGGTATGATAATATTGATCATGTTTTTTATATTTGAATTTTAGTTTTAATTATTTATAAATATAAAATATATTATAAATTATACTATTATTTTAAAAATTATTTTTAGATTTTGGAATTTTATTGTTTAATTATTTAACAAATATTTATAAATTTTTAATATAAATGGAAAACTTATTAAATTGGAGTCTTTGAAATAAGGAAAAAAGATTTTATTTTTTTAAATCAGATTTATTACATAATGCAATGCATCATTTTGTAGCAAAAAAAAAAAAAAAACTAGATTTGTATTCTTCCGTGCATATCAAACTTGCGCTATTATACTTTTGATGATTCGATCCCGCTCTTTGAATATTGTTTTAATTCCTACAATTAAAAAAGTGCGAGAGAGCGCCAAGACATTTTGTGAGAATGCAAATTACGATCTAAATATTCACGAGACGCGGGTCAAACGAGAGTGAACTCTAAAATCTCTAAAGTGCGACGCCTCTCGTGAACTTAAGCCTCTTTTGTGATTGTGAGAGATCAAGCCGTCAAAATGTATATTCCTCTGCCTGTTTTTCACACGCATTTACCAAAGCAACAAAGGAAAGTAAAAGTGGCAAAAGAAGATCAGCACCTGCGAGAACCGCTCCTTTTGTCGTCGACGCCACGAGCACTTTCTTTTCGCGTCATTTGCTCTATTCCGCCCATAACTCTTCAGCACGCTCCTGTGTGAAAGGCAGATCAAAAGTATATAAAGTGCGCGCGTAAATATGCACGTGCTCTCCATTACACGCCTTACGTGTTTAGTGACGCGAGAAGAAATTCTATCTGTTTTCTAGAAAATTATTTCTTCGGATGGAAAAAGCAAATATTGAAAATGATGCTTTGAAAGGAATACTAAGAAATTTACATGGCCAAGTCCATCGACGACCTTTATTTTTGTCAAACGCCTTCGAAATTTGATTTGGCAACAATTTTGTGAGGCCATCTCAACAGCCAAATTTATTGTATGATCTGCTTCCGAGGCCGAATCATGTCCATCGTTGATACCCTTTGGCCGTCGGCCACAAACCTTTACAAGTTACGCGACCGACTTTGAAGCGCGGGAATTACCTGATGGCCGTGAGCTGCGAAATTGAATCTCGGCTTTATTACTCTCATGCTAGTTAATTAACATTTATTACCAGAACTATTGTGAATATTAATAATTTCCAAACTCATTAAATTTGAAACAATTTTCCTAAAATTTTATTCTTAATTATTGTTGTTTATTTTTCCAAATTGTCACAATCACATGTTTTACATTTTACATTAAATTGTTGAAAAAAATTTATTTGATTGTAGGAAAAAAGGCACCAGTTTTAGCAAGAATTTTGCTAAAACTTCCGAGATCAAAAAGACCCCATCTGCCTCTCAGTGATATATAACTAATGAAGTTTTTTTTTTGTCTTTTTTCAGAGAGGAAAGTCGGCAAACCCTGGTATGGGTTTCGACAGCTGGAGGTCTGACTGGAATAATTATTACTACGGCGGCTCGGCCAACGGCGGCTACTACAGCAGAGGGCCCGGCAGCCACTCGAGCGGCGGCCGCAGGTCCAGGATGCCAGACTACGACACCAACTTCTGATCGGCCAATTGAACTGCACCCTCTATTTATTGACACTGCATTTTAATTTATAAGAAACTCTAGAGAAGACGTCGAGTGATTGCATTTTAATGGGCAGTTTATAAAAAAATGTCGTGTGTGTTACGTCTTTTTATACGGTTACGACGAAGCCGCTCAGCCTTTATTTCATAACTAGTTTTTAATATATCATAATATGTCAGATGAGAGTCTATATTTTAATGTTTATGAAATTAATTAATTTGTGGCCAATATATGATGCCGTCTGCATTGCAATACTTCGTGGAATGTGAATATATTATATAATTTACGCTTAAATTCTATTTACGTTGCCATCTTCCATGACATGATTTTTTTTTGTATACCCATTTTATACTGTAAGCGCGTATATATGTTGATGAATATCAATTAGAGAATTTATAAGTAACGCTCGGTGAATGTGACTAATGTGCATCAGGACTTTTTTACTGTACATATACATTTAGATGAAAGATCAAGGTGATATATTAGTGATTGGGAGATGATTGATTCATATTTGATTTTAATTTTGTAACTGCGCATCTAAGGTGACTTTTTACATGTACCCTGCATGTATTAATAAAAACTCTAAGAAATGTATTACCTTGCTATTATTATTTTTTTTTTTAAAGAAATTGACACTCTAGGAGATGTTTTTGGAAGTGATGAGAGAAGAAACAAGGAAAAAGCCTGATCTTTTCATTTCCATGATCTGACTCTACCTCGTTGCAAAAATTGTTTTTGTTCAAAAAGCAAAATGGCTTTACCAGTTTTATGGCGACACTATTTCATGAGCAAGAAAAGTAAAAAAAAAAAAAAAAATCAGCAAATTTGAAAAGAATATCACATTTTGAAACAAAAATTTTAATCTTTAAATAAAAAAAATTCAGAAATAGGTTAATATTATTATTGTATAAATTTATTTTTATTTTAAATATTTTAAACTTAAGCAAGTAAATCAAATTAAACTAACAATCTAACAAGTAAAATTGTGTATGGTTAAATTTGAAAATAATATTAATTAAAAAATATTGTTAAATATAACTTTTAAGTTTGCCAGAGCAATCATATACAATAAAAAAACAATGACCTTTTCTATTTTAAAATTTTAAATGAAAATGACAGTTTTATTTTCATTACAAGAAAAGTTGCATTGAAATTTTATATGCCATCTATCTTGCCATCCAATTTTTTACTAACTTTGATTATCGGCATTTTCACACAGCCTTGGCCAAGTAAATCTCTCTGCATTATTTCCCTGAGGGCATCAGGCACAACAACATGTATTTTCCGATTTTGGTTGTTCTCAACCAGAGCCATCAAGGTTCTGGGAACAGCCAGGGCCGTCCCATTCACTGTGTGCACAAACTGTCCAGTTTCAGCAACTCGAATGTTCAGTCGGCGGCTCTGGAAGTCGGTGCAGTCGGAGCACGAACACAACTCGCCCCACATTTGCCTTCCCAGCATCCACGCCTCCAGATCGACCTTCCTCAGGGCAGGGTTGCCGAGTTCGTTGGACGCCATGTCCAGCACTCTGAAGTGCAAATTCAGCGATTCGAAAAAATCAGTCTGCAATTCGATGAATTCGTTCTGCACGGCCTGTGAACTTTGGAGATTGCCTTCGGTCAGGGCGAACATCTCCACCTTGGTAAATTGGTGCACCCTGAATATATTAAAAGGGTAAAAAAATTGCAAAATTAATGATTTTGAAATCATTCACCTGTACAGTCCTCGTTCCTCAACTAAGTTAGAAGTTTCCGCTCGGAAACACCGACTGATCGCAGCCACTTTGTACGGAAGTTTTTCTTGAGGAATTTTCTTGTCCATAAATCGAGCACCCAATCCCATTTCTGCAGTTCCGGATAGGCAGAGGTTAGGTCCATGCTGCTCATTTAAGCGAAAGACCTGGAATCATGGAACAAATTTTTTTCCTTCCAATCAAGGTTTTTTTTTTCGATAATTACTTGGTTTCTTTGTCCAGTCGTTGGCATTCCACAGCTCTCGATAGCTTCTGCTGGCAAAATGTCTGGGACACTGACCAAGTGAAAATTATGACTCAAAAGTTTTTGCACGGCCAGCTCAATCAAGGCTTGCTCGAGTTCGACGAGTTCTCCGAAGAAATAGTAGCTACGAGGTCCACAGAAGTTTCCCAAGTTCTCCGTTCGACACCAGTTGTATTTATTGGCGATGTCAGCGAACTTGCTGAATTTATGGCCCATCCTAGCCTCACCAACAATCTGGAAATGAGTAAAATGAATAATTTTTCAAATTTTTAGGTGAGGAAAAACCTTAATTTGCTTGTTTTCTGGTCTATGTTCCAGAGTCCGATTCGGTATTTTGATGGCCTCTGACATGAACTTGCTCCAAGCCTTGTCACTTTTTGATGACTGAAAGTCTTGGTAGAGTTGCTGGACAAATCGGATGTCGCCCAAAGCGTCTCTTCGCTTCACATTGTCTTCAATTTCTGCCAGGTTGTCCGGGTTGCACAAATACGCCGTGTCTAATTCGGTTCCGGGGCGAACGTAGGACATCGTCCGGCCTGCGGGTTTCCGAAAGAGGAACTTCGTCGCGAGCCAGTCGGTCAGTTGTTTGTAGCGGCACATGATTCTTGTTGAATTCATTATCATTTTTTACTAAAAATAATTAAAAATTGCACAGGAAGAAGCGCAGCAAGAAGGTTGGTTGCTGGTTAGTTGACTTGCAGTGCAAGTTTTAATGTTGAAGATTTTCATCGAACCTAAAACGACAATTAAGTCTTTAATTATCACAACAAAATTTATCAGAATTTACAATTATTTTACCATTAAAATGGTCACAAAAGTCATTCCTCACTAGTGTAAGTAGTGTATTTTGATTTTGGAGCGCGCAGCTGTGCCATGTGCCACGCCCACCTCTTGCCAAACAGCTGAGTTGGAAAACAAAACGGAATGAGTTGAGACAAAACAAGCAGATTTTGAGGGATTAAAAAAGCAGAATGTAACTTATTTGGAGTGAGTTAAGCCCAAAATTAATCAGAAGAGGTAATGGAGCTTCTCATAATTATCATAAATTGAATTTTATGCGCATTTTTCATTCTAAAATACTTTAAAAATTTCGCCTAATTTTTTTATGTCCATTAATCTTACTTTTTTATTTCATTCAATGACCCGTGTCCGTAAATTTGGAAAGTTCATTATTTTAGTTCTTAGTTTATTTTATATCCTCCATTTGAGGAATAATGAATGAAATATTTATTACATTTGCAGCTTAAAAAATAATATAATTATCCTAAATTGACCCAGTTTACAAGCAATAAACGTTTTTTTTTGCAGCTGATTAAAATCTTGATGAAGTCTCAAAAATGATGTCCAACATTTTGGAGAAAACCCTGGGCTCTGTCTTCACAGGCAGCAACACTGACCAGTTTGCGGGGCTGAAATCGCTGTACCAAAAATGTCTCTCCGCAAGAACGAAAAAAGTATTGAAATTTTAAAACATATTCAGAATTTAATTTTTTCACTTTATTTAGGAGGAAAATCAAATAATAAGAGAGTTGCTGGCCACGGTAAAATTGCGCCTCAGCAACCCCAGCACGCGACCCCTTTTGGCCGGACACTGCTTGGCCTTTGCAATTTTTGCTGAACTAATGGGATTCAATGTCGAATTCGCTCACATCCACGCCATCAACTTGGCCCAACAGTCTTCCATTGTAGAAAAGAAAATGGGTAAAATCATTTGCAACAAAAATTTTAATTTTTTATTAAAAATTTATTAATTTAGGTTATGTTGCTTGTTGTTGTCTTTTGAACGAGACAAACGAACTGAACCTGCTTTTGGTGAACACTTTGGTGAGAGACCTGGCGAGCAAAAACGTGGCCATCGTCGGTCTTGCCCTGTGCGCCCTTTGCTCAGCCCCGTTGCCCACAGAGGTCATTCCGTCAATTCTTCCTGCAGTCCTTGACAGGCTAAACCACTCCACGGTTAAAAAATTTAATACTTTAATTTCTATTATAATGAAAGATATAAATTTATTAAATTCAGGCTTACATTCGTTGCCGGGCGGTCATTGCTGTGCATCATATTTTGCGGAGGCACCCGGAGCATTGCGAGCAGATGGTGTGCAAAGTGGTTGCCCTCTTGGGGGACAGCGACCCCCACGTTGTTCACAGAGCCTTGGGCTGCTTGCCTGACATTATTCAAGTAAAAAATATTACTTTTGCAGTGATTTTTTTTTATATATTTGTTCTGAATATTTCCAGGTTTGATATTTATTATTTTAAAATTTCTTTTAAATTTTTTCCATTTTTATCCAAACATTTTTCCAAAAGACATTCAAATTATTCAAACATTTATCAAAACGTTTAAAATTTGTTCCACATTTCTTTTACAATCATTTTAAAACATAATTTTTTCTATAAGCCTAATTTTGAGGGATGAAATTAATGAAAAATGTTTACCTCCAGAAATATCCTGAGTTGGTTGCTGGCCTCGTGCAACCGCTGGTGGCAATTCAAAGGCAAATTCTAAATGGAAAACTTCCTGCGCAGCTGAACTACCGAGGAATTCCGGCACCGTGGATGCAAATGTCTATTTTAAAGTACGAAGTTATTATCATTTTAGAGACCTTTAATTATTTAAATTTTATTTAAAGATGTTTGCCTGAGCTTTGTTTGACGGAAGAAGAAGAATTTGCTTGCAAAGAGGTTCTCCTGGAAACAATCAAAATTATCTCGACCAAAAACATTGCCATCAGTGAACCTCCGATTAGAAGTGCCATTATCGCTCAAGCTCTGACCGTCCTGCTCAGCCTTGAGGAGACTAATGAGGCTAGCAGGATAAGAATCATGAATTATATCGGCCTGATGCTCCAGTCCGAAAACTGCGACGTCAAGTAAATAATTTAAAAAAAAAAATCACATTGAAATAATTTAATAATAATGATAACTTAGAAATGAGGGCCTTCTTTTGCTTGAAAACGCCCTTGTCAAGTATCAGATGACCTTGACTGAGGAGCAGAATTCTGTCGTCAAGTCCAGTTTAGACCACCCGGATTTGTCAATCAAGAGACGTTGCCTCGGATTGTTGACTGCTGGGGCGACGGAAAATGACGTCCAGTCGGTTTGCGGGCAGCTTTTCACCCATGCTGCTAAATCAGAAGGTTTTTATAAACATTTAAAGTGAAAATATTAAAGAAACTTTTTGTCCCAGACGAGAGTTTGAAACACTGGTTGCTGGAGCAGGCTTTGCTTTTATTGGATAGATTTGAAAGCGCTGTATCTGAAGACTGGAAACTGAGCGCTCTGATCAAATTAATGCCATTGGCCGAGGACACCAAAATCAACGAGAATATTTACAAGAGAGCTCGAGGAATCCTTGTAAAAGGTGATTTACATAATTTTTTATTATAAAATCTTGAACTTTTACCTCCGGTTTAATTACCATAGGAACTTTGAAAGATGAGACGTGGTCAAAAATGCTAGCCGTTTTAACCACCCACGGAGAAGCAAAAAGTGCGCCGACAAATTTGCTCATGTTGTACATTTGGACTCTAGGAAACTTGCCCCACTTGTGTTCAGCGGGTACCCAAGAAGCACTTACTAAAATCATTGTTCTTGGAAACAAGGTGGCCATTTCAAATTCAAATTGTGAGCTTTTTTATTAAAATTTCTGACATTTTGCAGCTACTTAATAATGCTAAGAGTGAACCTTCAGCTCGGGACCTGTTGCTGCAGATTTTGTGTTCAATTAGAAAGATAAGCGAGAAAGAAGATTTCACGAAACCTGACAACCTGGATGATTTTCTGAAAGAGGCAAAATAAGCTAAATTTCTATTTAAATGCAATACTAATTGCTTTTTTAGGTGTCAGAGTTATCGGCTGTGCATTTAGTCGAAGCCTCCGATTTACTGAAAACCTTGGAAAACCTCGAGAAAATCAGGAAATGCCTTCAACTCGAATATGAATTTGATTTTTCCCTGAGTGCCTTGGACAATTTTCTGTTGGAGTCTATTCAGACAGGAAATAAAAAAGTTTATCAACCTCATGTGGCCATGCTAGTGCTCCAGCCAAAGCCCATCAGGTCGCCTGAGTTGGCTCATTTGTTGCCCGTTGAACTGCCGTCAATTGTTATGCAAACCTCCCATGACTCTGCAAAAGCCTCTATGGAATCGTCTTCAAGCAAGAGGTTTGAAATAATGAAATAAAAAAGCAGTTAAACTAATTTAACTATTTGAAGCAGCCAAGTTGCCGAACCCACAAGCCCAAATCAGGCGCCAGCAACATTGTGGACAAAAGAGGGAAGGATCAAGAACACTTCCGAAGAGCAGACGACACTTGCTGATTCTGACCCTCTTACAAATGCCCTTGGACTTTCTCAACAGGTAGAAATTTAAAAAAATAAATAATTAAATATTAATTTTTTGTTTGTTAAGATTTCCAAAAATGCACAAAACGCAGAGCCTGAGGACCCATTGGGAGACCTTCTGAGATGACTGATCTTTTTTACTGGAAATCAATTGCGGAATGATAAATGTTGTTGTTGTGTTTCTGTCATAAATTGATGTTAATTTAATATGAACTAATAATTTTTTGAACAAATACTGTTTTTTGTTTGTTACAAATACCATATACATCAGTTAAATCTTTGCATTGTTCGTAGTTTAAAACTAGGCAAGATCCGCAGTAAAAATATATTAAAGCAGCTCATCGTCTGCCCGATAAAAAGGCACTTGGGAATTATCACAAGCGATGGTCGAGTGACCATCACAGATTGCATGCACCACAGAGTTCAATGTCAGCAAAATCCTGGGTTTGTGTGCTCGATGACGCAGCGCCGGCAGTACTTCTTGACCGCTCTGTACCCTTCGAGAGACACACCAGCACAGTCCTGAATGTTCAACTGCTGAAGACCGCGGCAGTAGAAGGCGATTTGCCGAATGCCCTCGTCGGAAACCAGCTCGCAGCTCTTCACACTCAGCTTCTTCAAATTCGGGCAAGATCGCGCTAAAAGTCTCAGCGAGTGATCCGTGACGTCACATTTACCTGCATTTGAAATTTTTTTTTAGCAACCTGAAGACAGGAAAACAATCAAATAATACCTAAGTCAAGTGCTCTCAACCTAGGGCAAGAACGAGCCAGGGCGGCTACACTGTCGTCACCAACGGCTTCGCACCCTCGACTGTTTAGATACCTAAAAAATTCAAAAATTTGTCTTAATTTGAAAATTCTTGCAAAAATAATTAATTTAATACCTTAATCTGTGGCAGTACCGCGCTACTTGTTTGATGCCAGCATCCGAGACTTGGTCGCACTTGGCCACAGAGAGGTACCGAAGACTGGCGCCCAGCTTGGCCACCTCGTAGACACCGAAGTCAGTCACTTGAGTGCAGTCGGAGACGCTCAATTCTCTCAGCTGGGTGCAGTAACTGGGAATATACTTAATTCCAGCATCTGAAATGGAATTAATTAATTTAAAAATAAATTTTGAATTATTTAAAAATTACCCGATATCATCACACATCGTCTTAGGTACAGAAAGTTGAGTGCTGGGCAGGCCTGGACAACTGTGTGCAGACCCTGGTCGCTGAGTCCCACACAGTCGGTCAGGTCGAGGTACTGAATGGACAAGTGTCTTGCAGGCGCCTCAACACTCATGCAGGTCACGCTGCTGCAGCCTGTTTTGTATAAAAAAAAATATTTTTTTTTTATCTCGACTTTTAAAACATTCAATTATTTTCCATACCGGCCAAATCAAGGTGGAGGAGCTTGGGACACCTGGTCACAAGTTCGACGACCCCCGCATTGGAAATGCTGATCATTCCCGAGCCGCCGACGATTCTGAGGTGGGACAGGTTCGGACACTTTCTACCCAGCAACAGGAGCGACCTGGATTGAGACGAAGGTAGTAAAAATAAAAAACCATTTTGGAAGAAAAAAATTCATACTTGTCGGAGAGGCCTGGCCCAGAAAGAGCAACTCTCTCGACGGCATCGCAAACCGAGTTTTCTCCGGCCAGTCTCTTGAGCAGTCCCCTCAAAGGCCTGTCGCCGCCGGACACGGCGACTGACCTCCACAGTCTCGGCTCCCACGCCAAGTTGTGCCATCTGCAAGGTCAAAGAAAATTGACTTGAATAAAATCGTATTTAGAATTTATAAAAATTGTATCCTCAAATCACTCTGAACTGAATAAATAATTTTTTTTTTTAATTGCATGGATGTATTTACAAGTGATTTTCAGAATTTTCATTTAAAATCTTATGAATTTTATATATTTTCTTGGCCATGATATCTTTTATGTATTAATTAATAATTAATCGTTTGAAATTATTGGTCAATTTTTTAATGATTTCAAAATATTATTTTCCTTATGACTTCAGTATAATTTCGTGTTAAATCGATTTTAATTTTTATTCTTAAATAAATAATTATTTATATAAAATCAATAAAAAAAAAAACAAGAAATAGTTTTTTAAATAATTGAAAAAAAATTAATAATACTATTTAATTTTATAGCTACATTATTAAAAATTGTTACCTTCTGCAGACTCTGGCACAACTGCAGAGCTCTTTGGTCGTCAAGTGTGAGAAAATTCGCACCAGGACATCGTCCGGGACGAGGTCGAAGGGCGACTCGGAGTACGGGGCGCCCCACGAGGCCTGCGGACTGGGCGCTACGAGCGTGTGGTAGCCCTGGTCGGCGCCAGGAGAGCCCGTTCGCAGGGGCAGGTAGGTGGTGCGGTAGCCGTGGTACTCGGGGGTCGGGGGCGGCGGCGGCTCTGCCTCCAGCCGGTAGGACGAGTGCGGGTGCGACGGGTACGGGTAGAACTGGCGGGGGAAGTCGCTGATCGAGGCGTATTCGTTGGGCGGCAGTCGAGGGTAGGGCGAGGAGCGGGTCAGTGGACATGGGGTGACGAAGGTGGGCGCTCGGGGTGGCGGCGGAGGTCGCGAGTGGCGCGGCAGATCGGGCGACGACGACGAGCACGTCGCGCCGCCTGTCATTGAGGCCGAGGAGCGGGACGACAGCTCTGAACAAAAAAAAATACAAATTAACGATAAACTAAAAATTTTTATATATAAAATGTTTATGAATCCTATAATTAAAAGTTCAAAAATCAATTTAAAATTTATGGAAATTGGTAAAATGTCAATTAAAAATATAACAAATCCCTGTTTTATAATCAGAGAAATAACGATAATATGTCAAATTTTTATTATAATTCAATATATGACTAACATATTGTGGGTTACATTAAACAGAATTAATATTTCATTTATAAAAAAATTAATGAGAATATGAATGAATAATAAATCTAAATAGATATAAATAAAAAAATAAATTATGTTTCTTTCTTAAATAATTTCAAATAATATTTTAATAACAAATATATTTATTTAACCGTTTTTATATATTAAACTTATTATTTTACTGTTCAATACTAAACACTGATCTGCAATTATAAATTATAATTAATTTTTATATTGTTCTCAATATTTTGACAAACTGCTTTTTAAATGAAATGGGAACAGGTCAGCATATTCTTCATAAATTCCTGCGTGAGAGATGCAAAGCCCCGAAAAGTTTTCTCTGCTCTCGGAGAACTCGCGATTACTGTGAAAAAATGGCTCTCGTTGTGATGCCCGCCGGCTGCAGCGATTATTGACTGTGAGAACGATTGATGATGATAATGGTGTGTGTGCTGTTTAGCATAGGGAGAGGCGCCGTGTCGTGACACAAGGTCACTCACAAATATTTGTGCACCATCATCTTTCTCTCACAGTAGCGTTTCTTTCGAAATCAACCAAATTTGAATCAAACTGTTTTTTTCTGCCTATTATTTGATATCAGAAAGAGAGTGAAAAAAAACTGTGTTTCTTATAATTCTTGAACACATTTTTTTTCCCTTCCAAATTCTAAGAATTTATCCACTTTTCAGTGGAATCAGTCATCGTTCTTTGGCAAATAAAATATGTAAACATTTTGTTTTGACGTCGTAAAAGGGCAGATAGGATTGTCATGAGACGGCAAGAGTTTGGCAGGTAAAATTCTTGATGGTCGAAATACATATCACCACCTGTTGCGCACTAACTAGCTATGAAGCGACCTGACAGCTCACTAACCTTTCAAAATTAAACAAGACAAGCTTTTGTTCCACGTCTCTGGCTGATAAAGAGCGTTTAATGTTTTCTAATGCATTATAAAAAAAAAATTGTCTAAATAGCATTCTTTAACGTGTGTCAAAGGTTAAGAAAAATTTGGATTTTTGATTTATATTCAAATTGTTTCTTATAATAACATGAAGGAGTGAAATTATTATTATATTTTAAAGGGTGCTCTCACCATGAAAGGAGACGTTTTTCCTGGTGCTCAGGGGCGACAGGGAGCTCAGGTTGGAGGCGATCACGCTGGCGGACTCGGTGCAGGTGCTCGCTGCTGGCGACGCCGATGAGGAGTGCGAAAGGTCTGCACAGTCAAAAGGTTCAAAATCATTTTTAAAGATGAAACAGTTTAAAAAGTATAAAATAATAATATTATATAAAATTTTAAAATAATAATACTTTTTAAACGTTGGCTTTTTTTATGAGTAGAAAAATAATATATTAAAAAAATGCAGATGAAATGCAAAAAAATGTAAAATTGTATATCTGAAAAAAATATCCGGTAAAAAAGAGTTAATAATTTAAAGTTATTTAGTGCAATTTGTTGCAATTTTTCTCAATTTCCGCAGAAGAATTAAACGTCGCGCACTTGAAATAAAAAGGGAGTCGATCAAAAAGGCAGGGGTAATTAAAAGACGCAGACGTGTTTTTGCGCCGATTCTGCAGCGCAATTCGACGGGCAAGATGACAAGTTCAGTGCAAAACGTATTTGTTAATATTGGGCAGTGCGTTTCTTTCAAAGCGATCGAGGCTGACATGCAGCAGGTTTGTCGGTTCGCGGAATCCAAAGGAAGCCCCGCGCAGGAATGTCATTTCTTACCAAAAGGGATAATAACGCGACGGACTAAAAATCACCAAAGAATCCATCAGAATGATTGGATTTGGAAAAAAAGAAAGCTCCAAAAAAATTTTGAATTTTGGAAAAAAAATATACTTACTCTCTGAGTCGGGCATTCGTCCATTCACTGTTCCCATGCCTCCAGGAATTTTTCCAATTAAAAACTACCGTCTTTGCGACCTGAAATAATGGAAATTTAATTGTATTATTAAATTAAAATCATCTAAAAGATTACAATAAGTTAAATTACAAAAATATATTAATTTTATCCTATTTTTTTAACTTTATACTTGATTTTATTTAAATTTTAAGTTTTGTTTTGTTTAAAATTTTTTTTAATAAATAAATTTTAGTAATAAAATTTTCAGTGTTAATAAATTTAAAAATTTCAAAATAAAATGTTTAAATATTATATTAATAATTTTTTTTTTAAAATCATATTATATAAAGCTTTCATTGCAGAAGCCCAGAATAAATGCGAATATGTTTGCTTAAATTATGTATTTCATGTAGTGGAATGGATTCAATTGTACTCTATTGTATAATGCATGGAAATTAAATAAAAAAATTAAGAGTTTTTAATTTCTTTAATTTCACCAAATGAAAAATAAATAAAAAAGGCAATCTACAATTCTTACGGTTGGAATATCATGAATTTTTAAAATCAGTAAAAAAATTTTGACCCGAGACAAAATAATATTATGGAATTTTTTGATGCCATTGATTTTAAGCAGGCGGATCTTTTCTTTCGCATGGCGCAGCTGTAGCAAAACACAAAATAAGCGAGTGCGCATTAACCCTTTAAATCCCATAGTGTTCAGGTCACTATTGTTCACCTGTGAATTCACTCGAAAGGGCTTTCGGGGGCAAACGAAAGAGCAGAAAACTGGTCGAGCAGCGCAGGGGATTTGAATGCAGGGAATAACAAAAGGCCCGATTTGACACGTTTGAGCCGAGATGGCTGCTCCGCTCTCGCGAGTGCTGCGCCAGGTTCGAATTCCGCAGGGTCGAGCAAGAAAAAGGTCGGGCACCTGCGTCAGGGCGAACTCACCTGGGCAACATGGTCGTCGGGGTGCTCGGGTCGGGGGAGCGTTTGGCGTCCCTGGACAGGGCACGGATCGACGCGAAGAGCAAAGCGCTCAGGGCAAAGAACCTTGATTTCAGGTGAGGCGAGCTACTGATCCTCCCGAGCACTCGCACCTCGCACAGGTAAGCTTCTCGCTGTTGTCAGATGTGCCTGCCACGATGCCAGGTTTCAACTCGCGACGGCCCACTTGCGACGTCGATCTCGTTGCCGCGGGTGCATTTTTATCGAGAGCGCAGAACTTCTTTTATACATTGTTGACCCATCTTCGCTATGAAATCGTCAAATTTACTGCTGCACCTTAAATCTTGTGATCTCTGATTCAACATAAATTAATTCGGTCCAATTATGTCAATAAAGTTGTGGAGAATAAATAAATAAATAAATGAGCTAGTATTATTATGTATTTCATTGAATTAATTTTGTATTCGCTTTCATGTAAATACTATAAAATTACAAGGACATACAGCAAAAACCCATTTACTCATTGAGTCAATTATTATCTTTACATCCTTAGATACAGGAAACAGGTTTATAAAACTTAAATAAAACATTTAATAAATAAAATAAATACCAACAAAGGAAAGGAGAATGAAATAAAATAATTTAACTATATTTAATTTTAATAAATAATATAAAGTAGTAAATAAATAAATCAACATTAAATATATTTACTTAAAAAAAGTTTCAATAAACAGATTAAAATAAAAATAAGTTTGAGTTATTATTGATATATTTAGTTAATTTTGCTACATTATTTTGAAGGAGAATAACAAAAAAATTAGCAAAGAAAATTAGATTTATGGGCTGAAGAAATAATAATTATTGTTCAAATTGATTGAAAACAATATGATAGAAATATGAACTTAATCTTTTGATCACTGTAAGAAACACACTACTTCTATATAATTATGTAGAATTCCGCTTTTCAGAAATCTTTAATACGCAGATCTAAAATAAGCTGATTGTATGACATTATTATTGCCAAACATATGCATACGATTTTTTTATAGTTTTCATCAATTTTAAAATTCTGTCTTCGTAGAAAAGCGTTTTGCAATGCTTCTTTAAAAAAAGTATAAATTAAAAAAGTATAACTTTTATTTGTAATTATTTATTTTTGATATTTTTGGATTGAATTAATGAAAAACGTACACTTTTTAATCTGATATACACCGTTTTTAATGTCTCTTTCCTCATTCATAAATAGCGTCATCTTTTCGTTTATTTTTTTTTCATTAATTATTAATTTTCGATTTCTTTCACTTATATTTATTTACAAGTGACGAACATGAAACCGACGATCTCGAACCGTCTTTCGCGCGCGCACTGCACCGTCCGTATTTAAACTGCTTCTCTATTAAATTCTCATTAAAGTCCCTCGATCAGCGTCCGGCGCTCTCTCGCTCTTCTCACAGATTAAAAATCTAATTTCGTGTCACAGTTGGGCGAAATATTTTAAATTTTTTTTAAACTCTCTCTTTCTCTTTGAAAATATATATATACGCTGCTCTGCTTACTTCGATTTTTTTTTCTTTCTATTACTTGGTGGCACTCGGCACGGTGATCTCCGAGTAGATCTCGTCGTGCTTGCAGTCGTCGAGGTTGGTGACGGCGTCGAAGGCCGCGTGGTGGTGCGGCGCCTTCAGCTCGGGCACCGCGCACAAGATGATGCCCTCCTCTTGGTGGTGGCTGCTGCTGCTCGGCGTCGACGCGCCGCCCCCGACCTTGCCGGGCGTTTTTTCGCACTTGAGCTTCTTCCAGAGGAACGGCCGCCGGTCGCCCGGGGGGCCGCCGGGGCCCCCGGGTCCGGCCGCCCCCGCCTCGGACGCGTTGTAGTTGGGGTTGGCGAACGTCAGCACGTTGCGTCCGGTGTAGAGGTTGTGTTTGTAGCGGCGCCTGACCATCGCCATTATCAGCAGAGAACCCAAAATGAGAAGGACGAACGAACACGCTATGAGCACGACGCCCAGTGAACTCAAAGATTCGGGTCCGTTGAGGCCGTTGCGCTTGGAAAAGCCGCCGGGGGTGTCTTCGGAACCGAACTCCTCGCCCGCGTCGTCGTCCTCCTCCAGAGTCTCGTCCCGCGGCGCCACCACTGCACTCGGCTCTGCAACAAAAGTTATAATTATTATTTTAATTATTCTCATTAATTTTACTAATTATTTGAGAATTTTACCTAGAAATGGAATTTTCCGAAAAAGTCATCAAGTTTTTATTTAATTTAAATTTGTTTTCTATTTTTTTTTGCATTGAAATTGATTTTGAAAATAAAAATCGTTTATTTTTTATTATAAATATAAAATTAATTGTTAAAGTAAATTCTCAAAAATCAAGCACTTTTATATATAATATTTTAAATTATATTTTTAATCCAATTGGTTAAAAATAAAATTATTTAAAATAAATGTTTAAAGTTGTAAAATTTTTATTCAAATTATTTTTATAAGATAAAATTTAAATATGGATATTTAATATAATTTAAATTTAGTGTTATAAAAACAATTAAAATCAAATATGTTTGAAGAAGTGGACACTCGAGGAGATGATCACGGAAATGAAGCGATCGGGCTTTTCCTCGTTGCAGAAAGTGAATGAAAACAATTTTCTGCAACAAAAAAAGCCCGATTGCTTCATTTCTAAAATAAAATAATTGCAACTTTTTTAATTTTTATACTAAATAAAATATTTCAATTTTGACTGATACATTTTAAAAAGCACAATTTTAAAATTTAAACGAATAATTTTGCTTGATCGATGATAATTTAATTGTACAGCTTATTTTAAATGTAGGAAAACTCCACGTTTTTTAAATGTTACTTATTGACAACCTATTTTAAGAAAAATTGAAACCTCGTTGCAAAGTAAAAAATTAAAAAGTGTTCGCCTGGTTTAAATTTTTCCTGAAATCCACCTCAAGTGTAACAATTCAATTCAACCTATTTTAAATAAGAGATTTTTTGATTATATGTTAAATTTAGTAATTTTTAACTTGAATTAAATTTTTAATATAAATAAGTAAAGCTACTTACTGGTAGAGCAGGGTCGTTTGTCGGACACATCAGGACACTGGCAAATGTAGCCCTGCGGCCGGTGGAAGCAGAGATGCGAGCAGTAGCCATTCTCTTCGGCGCACGGCGTCCAGCCCTGCTGCTGATCAGCCGCGACGGCCCTGATTTCCATCACGCCGTTCAAGTTTGTCCGAATCGCCGTTCGTTCCGAGCCACTCAACTTGTCCGCCCGTTCTACCGACTTTTTGTACCAGTCCGTCCAGTACACGTGAGGACCAAACTAAAAAAAAATTATTGTTACAAAAAATACAAATAAAACACATTTTTTATAAATAATTTTCTTTAATAATTATGAATTAATTAAATCATTTTTATTATTATAAAATTTATATTTATTCTCATTTTTTATTAATAATTTTGGAAAATATTACCAAAAATAAAAGAATTCAACCATTTTTTACCTGCGTTAAACCAATGGGGTGAGTGGCCTCGGGCACAAGTTGAATCCTTCCTCTGCCGTGCAAATCTGAGGTTTCTATTCGATCCCTCAGAGCGTCGGCCCAGAAGAGCCTGTTGGCCGTGTAGTCGAGCGCCAGGCCGTTGGGAAACCCGAGTTCGGTGCCGATGATGACTCGCCGCGCCGAGCCGTCCAAGTAGGCGCGCTCGATCTTGGGACTGTCTCCCCATTCCGTCCAGTAGAGAAACCCTTTGCGTGGGAAAACTGCCAGGGCGCGCGGGTCCTCCACCTTGTCGTGGATCAGCAGCTTCCGACACGATCCGTCCAGACGAGAAACTTCCAACACCTTTCGCGAAGTGTCCGTCCAGTACAGGTTGTTGGCGATCCAGTCGACTGCGACGCCGGTCGGCGTCGACAAATTGGTGTGAATGATGTCCTCGAAGTTGGAAAAGTTATTCATGTCCACTTGCCTGGAATGAAAAAAAATTCAAATATATGTAAAATATTTGCTTCAAAAATTAATTAATTAAGTTAAAAATTATGTTTTTGAAGTGTATATTTTTATTTTATTCATTGAAAAAAAGGAAGGATTTGGTTTTTGTTAATTTTTTAGGTGGTCGAATTTCAAAATAGAGCAATTCTTTTGCCCCCCAAATTTAATGAAATTTTCGTGGCTTAATCTTCATGACTTGAAAGCAAACTCCATAAATTTTTATCGAAAAATTTTCAAAATTGCGGGTTTTACGGGATATTTTGAAAAAATAAAAAAAACCTAATTATCTCGGCTACCCGTGGTCGTATAATAAAAATCTGGATATTTTTGGATTCGTCTCATCAATATCTACAAAAATAAATTAATTTAAAGGTCATAAATCAAAGGTCAAGGTCATTTATTTCAAATTCAAAATTTCAAACTCAAATTTGAAGATGTGCCTCTCGCTAAAAGTTAAATTTGACATCGTCATTTAATTTCTCGTAAAATTTTACATAATGTGTGTCAAAATTGCGATGTGGTTATTTTTAGTTAAATTTAAAATAAAATTAAAAGATTAAAAAACGTGGTTTTTTGCCCCTCGGTGTGCAGAGTTTCTTAGATTATCATTAATTACTCGATTTGTGTTGATTTTAGACATATATTGACAAAAATTGACTTTCTGAACTAGACCAATCGAATGGTGTTCATATCAATGACCTTTGGTGAACTTGGGTCAAAGGTCACCGTGACCCATGACCTTGAGTGACCTGACCGATATGTGTGATAAGTAGTTGGAAAGATCTCGCTAAGGAGATAATTTTTGTCCCAGAGTTTTAAAAAAAAAAAAAACTAATTTTAGTTTTTTTTTTACAAATTGGCTCTTGTTTTGCATTTTCATTTAATTTTTACAAATAAAGAAGTTATGATTTAGATGTGAATCGTAAACATTTGAGTATATTACTTAAAAATCAAGTTGAAATTTTTGGTTTTTGAATTAATTTACCTGATAATGTCGAGTTGAATGTCCGTGTAAATGATGATTTGCTTTTCCCAGTGGAAGTCGACGGCGACGGCGGTGTGGACGCCAGGGATGGGCAGCGTCACGTCCCACAGTTCCTCCGTGTCCAGGGAGACCCTGGCCAGCGCAGACCTGGTGGCGAACAGCAAATACGCTTGCGGCGTGTTGTTGCAGGTGCGTCCGTCCGGGCCCATTTGGATTCCGGTCGGACAGGCGCACTCGAAGCCGTCCGGCCGACGCAGGCAGAGGTGCGAGCAGCCGCCGTTGGTGTGTCCGCACGCGTTCTCCGCAATGTTGTCCGCCTGCACCGACCTGCTTTGAACACAAATTTGAGCACGTCAAAGTCAAACTTCCCGAATCGAAATCAGACCTGATGGTCATGAGGCCTTGCAGACGGTCGCGGATGACGACGCGTTCGGCGCCGGTGTCCTTGTCCGCGCGGTGCAGAGCCTCCGTCTGCCAGTCCGTCCAGTACAGGTGCGATCCGACCACCACGAGGCCGTACGGGTGCGGAATGTCGCTCAGAATCATCCTGCGGTCGGTGCCGTCCAACGTGCAGCTCTCGATTGTCTTCATTTTGCCGTCGTTCCAGTACAAGCGGCCGGCGGGACGGTCAATCGCCAGTCCGTTCGGCCAACTCACGTGCTCGTGGACAATCACCGTTCTGAAATTTTAATAAAAATTGGTGAAATTTAAAGAAATTTTTAAACTGACCAGGTCAAAAAAGGTCATTGACCCCGGTGACCTGTGACCTTTCCAAAAATTATTGCTGGAAATGTTTCACCTCAATGAAAAGAAACATTGGAGTATCTGAAAGTCAGTTTTGCACTTGCAAGGTCACAGGTCACCGGGGTCAATGACCTTTTGTGACCTGGTCACCATGTGCGATACACGGTTTGAAAGAACAGGTCAAGGCAATCATTTTTTGTTATTATACATTTTTGCGTAACTTTAGCAGGAAAAAAGTTACGGACGGTTAAATGTTGATTTGTGTAGGAAAATGCTCGGAAAACCACGTTTTTTGCCATTCGACCTGAAATATCTCCAAAACGAAAAAAATAAGTCTCAAAAATTTTTAATATGTTGTTGACTACCAACTAGAGCAACTTTTGGCTATAATGGAATAAAAAATTTGTATGTACTAGGTACTTTGGTGGCGCATCAAAAAATTCAAATTTAAAAAGTTGACTCTGAACTTTGACCTATGACCTTGGTCACTATTGCAAAGTTGTAGGGCGTCTAATTTCCTACAACTTTGTTTATATACACACATGCGCTATCTGCAGCAGGAGCTGAGATATGTTTGATTTTCGAAAACTCCTTTTTTTTAAATCCCCATCTTTGAGCCCCTGTAAAATAGGCAATTTTGAGAATTTTCAAAAATCCTTTTAAATTAATTGTCTACACCCTAAGGGCAACCAAACTAAGAATTTTCAACAAGATCCGCCGACCCCATGCCAAAAGTGGGTCCCGTTAAAAAAAAATAATGCCTTAAGTGTTTTATGAAATGAAATTTACCGATTGCTACCGTCCATGAAGGCGCGTTCGATGCTTGGTTTTTTGCCCCAACTGCTCCAAAACATGAGACCGCGGTGGTAGTGCAGAGTGATGGCCCTTGGACTGTCCAGATTTTTCGAAATCAGCACCTTCCGGTGACTTCCGTCCAGTTCAGCCACTTCAATACTGTGCCTTCCACCATCAGTCCAATAAATCTGATGAAATATAATTGAAATTTAGTTCAAAATAATGTGGAAAATGTTAAACTGGGCTTTATTATAACAAAACACTTAACTAATTTTTAATAATTAAAATTTTATAAATTAAAAAAAAAATATTTAATTTAGTAATTAAAATAAAATATTATTAAAAATTACCTGATTTTTAATTAAATTAATTACCATTAATTTATTTTTTATTTTTCTAATGATTATAAGCCTAGTTTTTTTTTATTATGAAATCCAACTTTAGTGCAAATATTCTATTTAAAATAATTTTATATTTTTTTTTTACCTTTCTGCCCGTCGAATCTACAACGATGCCTTCAACATTGTCCAGTCCGTCTATAACAACGTCCCGAACGTCACTGCCATTATCCTTTCCGCGCCTAATGACGTCCTCGACCGTGTCACTCCAATAAATGTCCCCTTTTTCACCATTGAAAAATTAACTTTCTTTACAATTATTTTCCATACCAGTTTTCCGGTCGACATCGACGGCGACTGCATTGTGCATCGGCGGCAGGGGAAGCACCACGTCTATCACGTACGGCACGTCCAGAGAAATGCGCCTGATGTCAACTCGGTGCGCAAAGATCAGCGAATTCACCGGGCCGTCCGCGCACTTCTTGCCGTCCTCCTGAATGAATTCATTTAAAAATCAATCAAATTAAAACAATGGAGACGCACCATGATTTTGATGCCGATCGGGCAGGCGCAGGCGAATTTTTTCGGCGCCGGCGCCAACAGACACAGGTGCGAGCAGCCGCCGTTCTTGAAGTGGCACTCGGAACGAACCATTTTTCGCTCGCGGTGGAAAACCTGCACGTCCATTAGACCAGTGATTCCCGACCTGAAGAAAAATAAAAAACAGGAATTTATGCAAATATTAAAACATATTAATTTCTACTCAAATTCGGATATTATGAAAAATAAATATAAAATACTTTTTTATTTGAAATTTTCTTTCTTATTGTGATTTGTGAGTTTCCCCAGAGTTTCCGAAAGAAATTAACAAAGTTAAAAAAATTTCCAAAAATTATTTGTGCAAATTTTTTCATTCATCAAACTTGAAGTGTAATTTAATCAAAATCTAAAGTAATTTATTAAAATTGATCACAAAATTCTTCTGATATCAAACCAAATATTTTAAATTATTAATTTTTTTTTATTAAAATATAAGAGAAACACTCACTTTAAGACAGTAATGTTCTTGCCACTCAGCTTGTCCGCTTTGTGAATGCTCGTTGTGTCCCAATCGGTCCAGTAAACGCTCTCCTTGTACACAGTAAGACCAAACGGATACGGCAAACTATTACCTATTTTATTTTTACTATAAAATCCGAGCCCTCCAGATAATTTTTTTAAATTACCAATCAAAATTCTCCTGCCAGAGCCGTCAAAGTTGCAGTACTCGATAGTTTTGGTTCCACCGTCCGCCCAGTAGAGACGCCGCGTTTCCTGGTCGACCGCAAGTCCGGCGGGCCAGGTCATGTTGGTCGAAATGAGCACTTTGCGCGCCGAGCCGTCCATGCCCGATTTCTCGATGCGCGCCGTGTCACCCCAGTCGCTCCAATACATGAATCCATCTAAAATTTCAAATAAAACTCTTTGAAAAATCTGCATGGGTAATTTAAAAAAACAAAATCGGTACCATTGGGGTTGACAACGATGTCTCTGAGCTTTTTGACATCTTCCCACACCAAAAGTGCGCGCATCGTGCCGTCAAGATTGGACACTTCGATGCGACAAGTGTCTGCATCCGTCCAGTACAGCTTTTTGGCCACCCAATCAACGGCAATTCCTGCTGGCGATTCTGTAAAAAAAATTGTAATTCTTTAAAAGTTATTTTATTAATTTTGTTAAATCTTTTTCTATTTAATTTTTTGTTAATTTTGTTAGTATGTGTTTTTGTTGTTGTAATTTTTAATGTACAGTTGTGTTGTGTAGGCGTTGTTAAGTATATTCCAGTTTCCGTTTTAATTTCTCAAAGAAATCTTATCGTGGATTCGGAAATTGAGCGACAAATCCAATGCTTGGAAAATGATTTAAAACGTAAAATTTCAAGTTTTTATTGGAAATTTTTATTCTTTTCAAAACACATAGCATTTGTGTTTCCAAAAAAATTAATTTTTTCACTTAAAATTCTAAAATTAAGACCTACGGCAACAGTTTTAAATGCAAAAATAAAAAATAATTTTGTTAGAAACAGATCCGAATCTGTTTTGAAAAGATTTAAAATTTCCAATTAAAAGTTAAAATTTTGACGTTTCAACTCGTTTTCCCAGCATTAGTTTTTTTTTGCGCTCAGTTTCTGAATCCACGTTAAGATTTCTTTGAATGAAATTTTAAATTTTGAACTGAATTAAAAGCTAGATTGACAGATTGTAAATATTTAAATTAAATAAAAAATTAATAAAAAATCTCACCAAGGTTGGAGCTGACGACGGTTCTCTGGTTGCTGCCGTTCAGTGCCGCGCGGCTGATGGTGTTGGCCTCGGCGTCGGCCCAAAAGATATTGTCGGTCGCGCTGTCCCAGTCGAGAGCAGTGGCCGACTGGACGTCGTCCACAGGTATGACCATGTCCACCTGCGGTTCGACGCCGTCCAGCAGATGGATGCGCAAATCGCGGTTGCGTGCGAACAGGAGCAGCTTCTCAGGCGCCTTCTCGCACGATTTCCTGTCCGTCCGAAGTCGCTGTCCGAGCGGACACACGCACGTGAAGGAGGTTCGGTTGGGCAGGCATAGGTGCGAGCAGCCGCCGTTGGTGCCGAGGCAGCGGTTCGGGTAGTTTGGTTGTCGCTGGGGGTGGTAGCTGTGGATGTCCATGGGGAAGTGCAGACCCGAGTGGACTGTCCGGAAGCTGCTGCCGGTCACTTTGTTGGCGGACGAGATGCTCTTCGTGTGCCAGTCCGTCCAGTAAACGTGGTCTTCAAACACGGTCAGAGCAAATGGGTGGGGCAAACCTTTGCTGATGACCTGGGGAAACATTGGGAACAAATTGAATTTTGTAAAAATATAAAAAATTTAAAAAGAAATATATTAGTAAAAAGGCTTTTAATATGGACAGTTTGATAGATTTTTAAATCGTTCTCAAAAATAATGAATTGAATATTATAATTGTTTATTTTCCCAAATTGTTATTATTTAAAAATTATATTTTGTTTAAAATTAAAAAAAACCATAAAAGAAATGAAATAAAATAAAATATCATAGAATAGAAAAAACTTTATAAAAAATAAATATAATAAAATAATACTAAAATAAAAATATAATAAAAAGATTTCACAAAAAGCAAGAAAAAATAACCTATTTTATATATTATATTATTATATTATATTTTATTATATTAAATAAATTATAATAAAATAAAAAAGGATACAAAATTAGATAAAATAAAATGAAATATGTTTTAAATGACAAATTTTTTACAAAAGTAATTATGAAAAAAAGAAAAATGAATAAATACCTTTTTCCTGTCGCTCCCATCAAAAGCTGCGTTCTCGATGACGTGGTGTTTTGCGTCCGCCCAGTAGATGCGGTCAACAGCAAAGTCGATGGTCAGTCCGTTGGGCCAAAAGACGGACTCGGTGACAATGGATCGACGGCCACTGCCGTCCATTTGGCACGACTCGATCTTCGGGTTCGGCCCCCAGTCCGTCCAGAAAACAAGAGCCTCTCCTGGGTGGACGGCGATGGCTCGCGGTTTGTCCAGGTCACTGGCGGCGAGAACGGCTCGGACGCTGCCGTCCAGCGAGGCCACCTCGACCCGCCGAGTGCCTGAGTCCGTCCAGAAGAGCAAATTGTGAACCCAGTCGAGCGCCACTCCCGACGGCGCCTCCAAACCCCACCTTATTACATCTGTAAAAAATAAATGAAAATTGTTTTAATATAATAATGAAATATCCAATTTACTTGTACAAAAATATTGAGCAGTTAATAGAAAATTTAAAAAAAATAAAGATTCTCTCCGGTCAAGTGTTTTGCTCTCTATTCTGAAAGATTGCTAAATTTTGAGTATATCTTGTGAAAACACTATTTGAAAATTCCAAACCGTTGCGTTTCAATCAAAAGAAAACCTAAATACGAGTGATTCGCGCGAAAAACGTGTGAGATTTGAGTAGCCAATCAGATCCATCAGTTTCTTCCAAAAACTACAGAATTTGGCCACATTGGCGCTGCGATCGCTGATTTTGGCAAGTTTTCTACAGCGCCGTGGGGCATTAGTGGCAAAATCAGCGATCGCAGCGCCAATGTGACCAAATTCTGTAGTTTTTGGAACAAACTGATGGATCTGATTGGCTACTCAATTCTCACACGTTTTTCGCGCGAATCACTCGTATTTAGGTTTTCTTTTGATTGAGACGCAACGGTTTGGAATTTTCAATTAGTGTTTTCACAAGATATACTCAAAATTTAGCAATCTTTCAGAAGAAAGAGAAATACAAATGACCGGAGTGGGTCTTTAATTTGAATTTTACCTTCAGGCTCTGAACCATTGATGTGCGCTCTCCTGATCATGTCCAAGGAAACGTCAGACCAGTAGACGAGACCCATGTGATAATGGTAGTCGAGGGCAATTGCGTTGTGCAGCCCCTTTAGGATGGCCGTATACTTGACATTGTTCAGACTCATCTGTTTAAAAATTTAATCAATAAAAACCACTAAAAAAAATGTATCTACACGCACTTGTCTAATATCGACCCTGTTTGCGAACAACAAAATAGCGGGCGGGCCAAGCGCCTTGCACGAGCGGCCGTTCGAACGCAAAATGTAGCCCTCCTTGCAAGAACAGGTGAACGAGCCGATCGTGTTCACGCACGTCTGGCTGCACGGCGGTGCCAGTTTGGTTGAACACTCGTCTATATCACGGCAGCTGAGAGAATAGAAAAAAGTTGCAAAATTTTGCAAATCATTATTAAAAATTGGCTCTACCTGTAGCCATTGGGGTGCAGAGAGTAGCCGAAGCGACAGGCGCAGCCTTCTTTGCCGTCGACCGTGGTCACGCAAAGCTGATCGCACCTTTTTGAGTTGGCGCCGCACTCCTTTTTTGTAGGACAATCTTTTTCATCTAGAACAGAGAGGCACAAAAATTAACTTTGAAAAACCAAGCAAGAAAAATTTAGTTTAAAAAAAGACTGCTTCTTTGTTGAATATATATTACTATAAATTATCAGCAAAATTCTGCAAAAAATTTTAATTTGAGTTTTTCTATGATTTGGTTAGATTAATTTTTTCCTTTAAAAAGCTTTAATTAGAACTTAACAAAATTTTCCCTTAAGATCAATAATATGTAAATTTTTAATGTCAACTGACCTATTGATTTTATTTTTCCTTCTTAATTGGGGTAATATTGAATGTAATTTGTTGAAATTTTAATCAATTTTAGTAGTGCAAATTACGAGCAAAAAATTATTTCAGAAAATCCCGTAAGAAACAATATAAAATTTAAAAAAATCAGTTCTCCCAATAAATTCAATTCTTCTTAATTTGTCTCCTTAGGACTGACACGAAAAAAAAACAATGGTAATTAATGTAGTGAAAAATTAAAATGAAAATTAATCGGGCCGTTTTCAGGCAAAAGCCTCTCCTTAAGAAATTAAATTAATTTCATGGTGATAAATATTTTTGAAATTTGAATTTACTTAGTATTTTAAGTAATTTTTTGCGCTTACCTTCACCATTAGTGCAGTCTTTCTTGCCATCACACATGTGTTTTCTGCTAATACAAGACGTGGAACTATTACTACAGGCGAACTGCGTCTCCTCGCATGACGGCGTGCATTGCTGCTCGTCCTCTCCCTTCGGACAATCCTCTACTCCATCGCACAGCCAAGATTTCTGTTATTCAAAGAGAGAAAAATGAAAACTGAACAATTTTCCAATCTCCGCGATCCGACCAAAATGCAGTTTCCGTGGCTGCAGGAAAACTCGTCCGGGCCGCAGGTGCGCGGCTTCTTCTTCTCGCAATTCTCCTCGTCCTCCCCGCTATCACAATCGGACTCGTCGTCGCACAACCACCGCTCGGGGATGCATTTGCCGCTGTTGCACCTGCGAACCGACCCTTCACTCAGGGCACCGTGAATATACCTTCGAAACTCACTTGTATTCGCCGGCGCGGCAGCTGCGGTACGGCTGACTCGGACAGTTTTCTTCGTCACTCCAGTCGCCGCAATCGTCGTTGCCGTCGCACCTGAAGTTTTCGTTCACGCACCGCGGGTACGAACACTGGAACTCGTCCTCCTGACACACCGGCTGCTGAAAATCTGCAAAAAGGACACCAAAATTTTGAATCTTTATTCAATTTCCAATAATTTATTATGAAAATTAATGATAAAATTGCAAAGTTTGATTAAAAATATTATATAAATTGATGAAATAAGACATTTTAGTTCAAAAATCGTTTTTATATTTGAAAACAAAAGAGCAATTTTTAATTTCGACGATTCCAGTTCTTGTTTAGTAAGGATTTGATTTTTTTTTTTTTTTTAATTTCCTCTCCAAACTGACAAAAATTGATACACAATCCATTGATTTACCGCAGTCGGCTTCGTCCGAGTTGTCCAAGCAGTCGGACTCGGAGTCGCACCGCCAGTTCTCGGAAATGCACGTGCCGTCGCCGCAGCGAAACTCGTTTGCCGCGCACTTGCTGCAATACGAACCGGCGAGAATTTCAATAAGAAAGGACGCAAAAAAACAAGAGTGAAAATTTCACAGCACCTATTTGCTGTACAGTTGGATTCGTCTGAAAAGTCTTTGCAGTCATTGTCGCCGTCGCAAACCCAGTTCTGCTGAACGCACAAACCATTCTCGCACTGAAATTCTTCCGCCGTGCAGTTCATATCGAAACCTGAATAATGACATAAAAAATTACAAACTTAAGTTGTGAAGAGTAAACAATATTAATAATATTGATGTAAAAAATAAAGGTTTTTACGTAATAAAGTTTGTTTCTGATTAGACACAAAATCTCAAAATAATAATTGTAAATTACTTATGCTTTGATCATTGATTCAAATGTTACAAAATTTGTAGAAATACATAGGAAAAAATTAAATTGCTAATTACTTGGCTAATTTCCTTCAAAATAAGTAGATTATTTTTACAATAAAGAATCCAGAAATGATTTAGTTCACAAAATAATACGATTTTTAACTCACCGCAACTGGCCTCGTCCCAGAAATCTCCGCAATCGTCGTCGCCGTCGCAGAGCCACTCGCGCGAAATGCAGCGGCCGTTGGAGTGACAACGGAGGCCTCGGCACTCGGGCTCGGGCTCCGTGGGCCTCTCGTGACCCACGTCTGAAGGGCCTTCCCACATGGTGCCGCCGCCGCCCCCGGAGCGGTGCACGCCAGGCACGTCGCACTGCTCGTCCTCGCCGTGCTGACAGTCGGCGTCGCCATCGCACCGCCACTCCTGCGGCACACATATGCACGACCTTTGGCACGCGAACAGGTCGTCCGGACACACGCACGTCGACTTCTCGTGCTGCAAAAATTCAAGTCCAACAATTCAATCAACGCATCGAAAAGATTAAAAAAAATGACATTTAATCGAAATAGGCAACCTGCTCGACATCGGTGTCTGGCAGGTTGCGTTATTTTAAAATCAGTGAACTAGAAAATTAACGAACAAAAAACTGGAAAACTGGTGATTTTTTTGTTTAAATTTTTTATACTAGCAGCTAATTCGACTTGCGGAGTAAAATTCATCGGAAAAATGTAATTTCTGTATGAAAATAAGTTGCAAATTGTGTTTATTGGCGAGTCCGTTTTGTGTGAACCTTGAGTGTTTTTATTTCCTGCATCAGCAGCATCACCTGTATAATTATTAAGCCAATTTGGATTAACAAGCATCTCCGGTTTAACAATTGCATTGCCTATCAACAAGCCAGAACGCCGAATTTTACACGACACTCCCTTTTCTTTGGCATTTTTTGCCGCGGCAACTATAATGCTTGGTCCTCGGGAGTTAACTCATCAGCAATAGTAACACCTGTTCCTTTAAGACAATTTAGCTTAGACATAATTTCACTTTTATCAATTTGGGACTTAAGTTTTACTAATATAGGCCGCTTTGGCGCATCAGCTCGTCCAACTCTGGTACTTCTGGGAGTTTTAGCAAACTTATCATGACAGATTCAAAAGCAGTATTAATATTTTTATTTGATTGCTCTCCAAAGATAAGGATATTATTCGCACGATTCGCCCTCTCCAACTGCGTCAGCCTGTTTTTCAGCTGCTTATTGTTTTCCTCCTGCAATTCTCCAATTAAGACCTGCTGCTTCGCCGCATTATCTTTCACTCCTTTAATTTCATTTAACATCCCATCCATTTTTTCGTGTAAACGATCAATTTTGTCTTTGAATTTGGCATCTAATCTTCCATCAAAGGTTGTTGCAATTGCATCTTCCTGTGTTAAAGGGCCGGGGTTTAGTTCAATATCGGAACTGCACAATACAATACAATCAGCAAATACGCGCCACTTCCGAACACTGTCCTAAAACTCATTCTCATTACAACTCTCTCAAAGAGATGTCGCTTGGCAAACATTATCAGCAAAGGCGAGTAATCAGATCTGAAAAACGATGTGGCAGCAGCAGGTGAAAAGAAGACCCACGCACAAGCGCCGGCACCATGACCGCATCATATGAAAAATCAAGCTTGGGACATTCAAATACCTTTTGGTTAATCGCTCTGTTTGGCTGGATCTCCAATGCTGTGAATATTGTCAATAAAAGCAGCACCGACCGCACTGCCGCAGCCGAGTGTTTTGCCATCTTCCCCTCTTATATAATTATAAAAAAATCTTACCTCCGAAAGTTCTCCGTCGAAGGGGTCAAAGTCTGAATGATGATGGTGCGACGGGTCATCCACCTCAAGCGGGTGTTGCTGCTCTTTGCCCTCGTGCAGCGGACCCGCCAACTTCTTCACATTCACAGCCACGCCTGCAACACGAAAAGCTCCACGTTCTCAATAAATTTTAAATTTCTTGTATAAAAATTAATAATAATTAATAATGTCTACAAGAAATTTTATTTTCTATTTAATTCTATTAATTGTTTGTTAACATTTTAAGATATATTTAAAATATATTTTAAAGGTAATTAATGGAATTGGCAACTCTTGTGAATGACCGAAAATTATTTATAAATAAACAACAAGCCAGCCTTTGGTGAGTAAGAAATAGAAATTTTATTTTTATCCAACAAATTGGCTTTCGGAAAAACCGGCCTGGCTAAATTTGATTCCAATCATCCCCTAATCCAAATAAATCCCTCTCCGCGTCTCTAATTCGGTTCCAAATTTATTTCCACGGATTTAGCTCTCGCTATTTTAAGGGTGCAGCGGCCTCAGGTCCGCCGCCGCGAATCCACCCCCGGTCGGTGATGAGGGCGAAAATAGACCGGGCAGTTGTCGGTTTCGGGGAAAATCGCGCGCCGCCGAAATTGGCGATCAGCAGCGAGCGAAAATATTTCGCGTGGAGATGCTGTTGCTCCGGGGGTGGCGGCGGCGGAGGGCGGCAGCCTGGGCCGCCCAGCCAGCCTCAGCTCTGCGCTGTGCCGATCAATAATTGAGAGAGACCGAAACTCTCTCTCGTTTGGGCGCCCCGGCCTATCTTTTGGGCTCGCGCCCGACGCCCTCATCTCGACCCTTTTGATTTCACTCTCATTTTGATCAAATCGGAGCAGGGAAATTTTTCATTTTGGAAGCGAGGGGTTTCGAGGACCCCGGAAAAGTCGAGAGGAGCACGTGGGCGGATTTACTGACAGCGCCGCCCGCGCACAGCAAAACTTTCTTCCCGTGTCAGCACATCTTTCTCCCTCGCCCGCCTGCCCGCCGCCTTCCGAGGTCAAAGGCAAGAAGAGAGATTTCTGGCAGGAAATTGAGGTTCAGGGGATGTGACGCCAGCAGCAACCACTTTGACTCGATCTTTAGCCCGACACTTAATACAAAAGAGAAAAATAATATGGAGCAATCCGAGCAGTTTGTTTAAAAATCATGAAATCCACATGAAGTTCTTAATTTTCAATGTATTTTAATTGTTTTATTATTTTCAAATAAATTATATTTTGCTCTACTTTTGGTTTCACTAAAGAGAACAGTAGTAATATCTTATTTTTTATCAAAATTTATGAGGAATTACTAATTACTTTTTAACAATTTTTGCATAATTTTGTTAATAATTGAAAAAAATAAGACAGCATAGTCAAAAGTTGATAAATATTAAAATTTTCATAGTTTTGAAGTAAAAAATAGTGATCAGGGATCCTTATGTAATTACTTCCTCTGTCTTTGGGTTGTAAGAATATAAATGAATTTTAAAAACTGATTGAATTATTTATTGAATAAAGAAAGTAAAATAATTAATGTTTTGTTGTAATATATAAAATATAAAAATTTGTAAACTAACTATGAAGGAAATTTTTTTAAATTAATTTAAATTAACTGACTTTTTATTGATAATATTTTTAATATTATTTTTAATTATAAAATATAGTGCAATATTTTATAAATAATAATAAAAATATTTTCAAATATTTAATAATTAAATAATAGACATAATTTTTATTCATTTTATTTATAATTTAATCTGTTTTGAATTATTTTAACTCAACTATTAAACATATTAAATTAATTTTCCAGCATTTTTGGAAGTGTAAATTTGATTAACTGCGATGATATGTCTAATTTTAATGAAAGAAAATAATCAGCAATATTACGAAATGACTTTTTGCAAGTAAATCTCATAAATTTCAAGGCAAATCGAACTTTTTATATATTTTATGACAATTTTGAGGAACAATCCCGCAATTTCAACCTTTTTTCTTTTCGCAGAGCCCCTTTTCAATCGATTCGAGGTGTTATTATTACGCAAAAATAAAAAGGAAGTGCGCGGGAGGTGCGGGAAATTGTGGGGTCGGTGGCGCGTGTCGGCGCGGGGTTGGGGCCAAGCCAGAAAATTTCATTGAGCAATCGGCCGGGTCGGTCTCGGTCGGTCTCTCTGCGTGCAGGTGCAGGCGTCCTCAGGCGGGCAGGTCACATGGTCTCTCTCGTCGTGCCAGTCAATACCGGCGAGCGGGCGTAGTGAATGAAAAACATTTGCGCAGCCTCGCGAGTTCCTCTCAATGGACCCGAAGCAGCAGCGCCGGCCGCCGCCGCCGCCGCCGCACCAAAACAGCGCTCGTTCGCTCGCAAGCTGGGGGCCCTCGTCAATACGCGCGCACCAGCCGCCCCCGTCCCTCGCCGCACCACCCCCGCGCTCTCCCTTTCTTGACCTGATCTGTCTCTCTATTTCTCTCTCATCAGACGCGCACAACGCCGAATGAAACTATAAACTGAAACCGACACGGCCAGCAACCAAAAGATCCGACTGCGAATCACAAATTGGAGAAAAAAATTAGTTTTAAATTTTGGCTCTTTATAATCAATAATTTCTTCTTAATTTTGATATTTTGAGAGAAAATTTGATGTCATCTCCAAAATTTAAATATTCAAAGAATCGTCATAAGCATTTTAAATCTTCTTCTGCGGTCTTTAAAATAATAATTGTAATTTTTAGCAAATAAATATTTTTAAATTAAAAAAAATAGCAATAATTTGATTTTTTTTTTAAATATGAGTTTTGTGTTTGAATAAATTGATACTCAAGGAAATGAAGAGGTTGGAATTTTCCTCGTTGCAAAAATGGTTTTTATTAAAAAAACAAAACGGCTTATTGAATAAAAACAATTTTAGCAACGAGGAAAAGTCCCATTTTTTCATTTCCATGAGGTTTTTTGGTTGAAATTTTGAAACACAATTTAATAAAATCTGCAGAAAAAAAGTGTATTTTGTGTTCAAATCAATTGAGCAATCATTGCGAATGTTACAAGTTGAAAATCAATGCTTAAAAAACAAAACAGGTGCTAATTTATTTATTTTAAGTGTGAACAACTCATTGAACTCCTGATAAATATAACTTAGAGTTTTTGTCACATTATCAGAAAAAAAGAAGTAGAAAAAAATGATATAAATCTCAACATAAATTATTTACCAAATAAAAGTCATTGCGTTTTAATTAGTTAGTTTCTGTTTGGTACAATTTTAGAAAAATTTTATTCTCAATAAGTTTAGAGAATTTTTGTTATTCCAAAAACTTTGGTTTCAAACGATGAAATTGCCCGTCGTTTATTGATTGGCGTCGGCCAAATTTACATTTTTGTGAGATTTTATTCCATTTATTTCAAATGTGTATTAATAATAATAAGGGTGCTCGACTACGGCAAGAGACCGACCTAATAGCCTAATAAGCTCACGGGTGCCATAAGCAAAAAAAAAAAAAAAAAAAAAAAAAAAAAAAAATAATAATAATAAATTGAAAACGTGTTCCACAATCGGCGCTCTCTTTCGACAAACTTGCGGATGCAATAAAATAATTGTCAGTAATAAAAACTAAAACTGAATAAAACATTGTTGCGGTCGCCATGCAATATTGATTCTAAATTTGAATTTTGACCTAAATGAATAATGCTCTGATTTTATAAAACAAGATAAATTTAGAAAAGATATTTATATTTATCTCATTAATCTCATTATGTAATATGATTTTAATTTGGTATAAATTAGGTTACGCAGACTGTAGCCTCACTACAAATAATAATTGTTTGAGAATGGTTTGCGAAAGTTTTGGAAAATTGAAAGATTAAAAAGAAGACTGAAATTTCCTAGTTTTCAAGTTAAAATGGACGCCGTTTTTCAAAATTTCACGGGAACTTTGAAATTTATAAAAAACAGCACGCCCAATAATCAATCATTTAAAATGCGTTTCAATTTCGCAAATCGTTGGGTCGAGTTTTACACGTTTTTAAATATAAAAAATATAGGAAGCTGAAAAATCTTTTGTTGAACTTTTCTCAAATTAGAAGGACGAGGAGCAAAATTGAGTGGCTCGGTGTGTTGATTACGGTGCGAAAATCAACGGGGAGATCAATAAGCAGCGAGAGCATCAAGAGCAAGGTGCAATCTTATATCGGGGCGCAGAAAGAGAAGGACCGAGTCACGCCTACACACACGGGGTGCACACAGCATCCCTAGCTATCTTTACGCGGGGACGGAATCTGCTGTCGGCATCTCTGCGGGCGAAAGAGGCCGTGGGTGTCATTCTTTTGTACACACGGCACTCGGCGCTGCGTGGGCCGCCCCCGCGAACATACACCGAGGGGTTGCTTTTCCTTTGTTTCTCTCGAGACGCGGGGAGGAAAAAACCTGCACCCACGCGAGATTCGCAATTATTAAAGCAGCGAAATTTATTCAGCGAGGGTTGCATAAGCATTGATCGCCGCGGGGTGTGCGTTTCGCTCTCACCTGCCGAGGTGCAGACGAGCAGGGCGCACACGGCCCACAGAAGCGCCATCGCCGCCGCTCTCGAGCAATTAATTCTCGCTGGGGTGTCTTCGGCGGTGCTTCTGCAGAAGGGGCTGCTGCTGCTGCTGCTGCTGCTCGGCCGTCGCGGGACGCAGGGGGCAGGACATCGTCGAAGCCGCAGAAATACGCACTCGAGAGACGCTCGCACCGACAAGCGCCCGCACAGGAACTGCCCTTTTCCACTGCTTTTCCGCCCCCGTCGCCCTCCTCCCTGCCGTGCCCCGCCGCCCGAGCACGCGCCCTGCACTCCGGACCGCGCGGAAAACGAGTCACGCTGGTGCCACCTCGAAGGGAAAAACGGGAAGCATTTTTGCTTTACCTCTAAAATCAGATTTTTCAAAACGCGTTTGAAACAAAACTCTTTTGTCTTTTCTGACATTAATAATTTGTCAATTGTATTTAAACAACGTTGTTTTTTTTACGATTTTGAAATTTGCACTAAACCCAAAATCATCAAAGCTATAAAAACACAAGCTTTGTCAACCGAGGCTGACGTTTTTTGACCTCAGAAGTTTTAGCGAAATTCTCAATAGTGGTGGTGCAGTTTTGTCCATCAATTCCTTTCTTCCTTTTTAAATCCCCAAATCAGTTTCGTTTCGTCTTTCCGACGAGAAAAGAGGTGCGCAATTTTTCACAATTTTGTCAGTTTGTTTTGAAATTTTATTCTTTAAATTGAATTAATTCCAATATACTGTATTTTAAAATTCAGGAGAAAAATGTTGTAATTTAATTTTAATTTTATTTTGTATATAATTTGCATGTTAATTTTTCAAAATGTTTTTAAAATTGGTAAAATGTCAGCTTATTTCTCATTTCAACAACTCATGAATTAGCGTTGCAACCCGCAACTGAAACTAGTAGAGCAGGGATTTTCTGTACCATGCAGAAACAACAAAGTTGCTCATCTTCACCGAGGAAGCCGGTTTTTATTTCATCAAAAATTCCTTTCTTTTCTAATAAATTGTTTTCTTCCATTGAATGTAAACAAAATGGACATAAAAACAAAAATAATTATGGGATCGAATTTAAGGAACTGCTAAAAAATGGCTTTCATGATCAATTTATCTCAAAATTGCTTGGTTTGCATAGAAAAATGCGGTGAAAATTATGGAAAAGACAAAATCGGGACCTTTTTTGACCCATTAAAACTATGTAAAAGATCTCATTGACTCCAGAGTACAACAATCGGCAACAATCAAAGAATGTACCAATTTGACTATTTCAGATGCATCTGCTTGAAAATTTTATTTGAAATGTTTTTTGTTTTATGATAATTTTATGATGATTAAAATGTCCAAATTTCAACTTTTAATTGGAAATTTGAATTATTTTTAAAACAGATTAAAATTTCTGTTTTAAAAATAATTAAAATTTCCAATTAAAAGTTGAAATTTGGACATTTTAATTCGTTTTTCCGAGCATTGGTTTTCTCGCTCAGTTTCTGAATCCACGTTAAAATTCTTTTGAAACTCGAAATATGATGTTCAATAATTCAAATAAAAAAAATGGTTTTTTCACAATTCACAATTATAAAAAAATCATATAAATTTTCACATGTAACTCCGCTTGAAGTCTGAAGTGGCTTGAAGTTGGCTGGACTCGAAACATATTATAAAAAAATCCCTCAATTAAAAAAAAATCACCGATGTGTTGCATACCTATAAGGAGATTGCGCTAGATCGTATATCTTAAATGCCGCCGCGTTCCTCGTCAATTTTCCCCGCTTTCTTCAGCAGATCACAGATGGCGCCTGCAAGTTTGTTTGAACTTGTGTCATAAATTTTTTTTGCCTGTCAAGTGCCAGCTGGCTGCGGGGGCGACTGGACAACAGAGATAGCGAAAATGGGCAACACGGACACTAAATTGAACTTTCGCAAGGCCGTCGTACAACTCACATCAAAAACTCAGGTGCGTATTCAAAGATTTGAAAATAAAAAATGAAATAAAACACCCGAATCGACGGAATTCTCATTCAAAACAAGAAATATTTAGCCGTAAAAATGTTGTTTATAAATCCACGTCTCTGTTCTTTTTAAGTATCTTTTTTTTTAATCTTATTTACTTAAATGATTTTCAAATGAATTTTTGATTAAAATAACTCAATTTTCTTGAGCCTGTAATGAAAATTATTAAGATTTCAAATTCCCTTTTATATTTTAAAATGAAGTTTAGTTTTTGTGTGTGTGCCGAAATATTTGTATCAATTACATAATTTTAAAATTTAATTGCAGCCGATTGAAGCGTCGGACGATTCGTTCTGGAACCAGTTCTGGAGCGAGAACCTGAACAGCGTGCAGGACGTTTTCACCCTGGTGCCGGCGGCCGAGATCCGAGCGTTGCGGGAAGAGGCGCCGCAGAATTTGGCCACCCTTTGCTACAAGGCCGTGGAGCGACTGATCGGCGCCGTCGACTCGAGCTGCCGCACCCAGAAGGACCACGAAACCGTTCTCAACTGCGTCCGCCTGCTGACGCGCATCCTGCCGTACATCTTCGAGGACCCGGACTGGCGCGGCTTCTTCTGGACCAGCCTGCCCTCGGACAAGGGCCCAAACTACGAAAACGAACATGCCACCCCCTTGGCGCACTCCCTTCTCAACGCTATTTGTGTAAAAATTTAATAAACAATATTTAAGCTTTTTTATAAAAAAAAATGTTCTTTTAGGATTTGCAATTTTGTCCGGACTTCACGGTGTCGGCCAGCAGAAAATCCGGTCCAGTACGTTGGCAAAATAAATTTAATAATCAAATTAATTTCTTCATTTCTGGGATTTTTAGGACAAGGCGGAGGATTTGAATGCCATCGACAGCTGCGAATTCATTTGGGAAAGTGGCGTCGGGGCGGCGCTGTCGCTTCCGCACAACCCGACTCACGACTCGCACCGGACCGAGCTTCTCAAACTTCTGCTCACTTGCTTCAGTGAGACCATGTATTACGAGCCTTCAGGTATCAATTTTGAGTCCATCTGGTTCATTATATGAAATAAATTTGCTCGGAAAATATGTTTTAAAACAAAATTTGGAGCTCGTGCATATTTAGGTGTTTAGGGGTCTAAATTATTTTGAGTTGATTTTTATCTGGTTTTTACCAAAAAAGTCGGTGTTAGTTGATTTTTTTTTTCAATTGTTTGGGATTTTTATGTATTTTGAAATCTCAATTAAGAGAAATCAACTAAAACCAGCCAAAAATCAACTAACACAAACCATTTTTTAGTTGATTTTTTTAGCTGGTGTTTGCCAAAATAGTCAGTTTTAGTTGTTCTTTTTCTTCAAATCTCCATTATTTTTTTATGCATAAAATAAAATTTAATCACCAATTTTTCATTATTTTTAAAATTCCTTTTTTAAACAAGTGCTTTGTTTGATATTTTGGAAAATATTCTTTATTTTTAAAAATGTAATTGATTTTGTTCTAAAGAAGCTCAAAATATAAATATATTATTTTTTAATTATATGGAATATTATTAATATTTTACATTGATCGATATTGTATTCCTTCTTTGTGATCTGAAAAAAACCTAATTTTTATTTTTACTTAGAAAAAAAAAATGGAAAAGTCTGTCATTTTAGTCTTTTTTAGTCGGAAATTGAAGAAATAGTCGGACTTAGTGGATATAAACTTGGTGACAATTGCAATAACATCACTTGAATAGTGCAGAAAATACATTTTTGAAACGTACCAAATGACATAGAAAAAAAATAACCGAAAATCACTTTCATTTAATATCATCCCAATTAGCGTGGAAAAAATCAATAGGTCAGTCGTCATACAAAATTTAGATTGGTCTGATGGGAAAATTTTGAGAAATTTTATACAGTGTAGATAATAAAATCTCCTCCTCATTAAATTTGCAGACAGTGGCACAGGCCAAGTGAATCGCTGGGTTTCGCACTTCACATCTCCCGAGAACCGACACGCCCTGCCGATCTTCACCTCGCTGCTGAACGTTTGCTGCAGCTACGATCCAGTCGGCCTGGGTCTGGTTCCGTACAACCACCTCATATTCACGGACTCGCGTGAGCCGCTGGTCGAGACGGCGCTCCAAATCCTGATTGCCACCCTGGACCACGAAGGCTTGCCCAACTCGAGCGCCAATGCTGACGTGAGCAGACTCGATTAGCTTTTTTAAATCGGTATCAAATTTATAATTATTAGCCGTCCCAGCAGAACGTCAGCCAGGACAACTTGTTCATCAACTATTTGTCGCGCATCCACCGTGACGAGGACTTCGGCTTTGTCCTCCGCGGCTTCACTCGGCTGCTCAACAACCCGCTGGCGCAGACTTACTTGCCCAACTCGACCAAGAAGGTTTCTTTCCATCAAGAGCTGCTCATCTTTTTCTGGAAATTCTGCGACTACAACAAGGTAATCTTAATTTTTAGGAAATTTATTTTAAATTTTTAATTTTTTCCTTTGCAGAAATTCCTTTACTTTGTCCTTAAAAGCAGCGACGTTCTGGAAATTCTGGTGCCCATTTTGTTCCACCTGAATGATTCCAGGGCTGACCAATGTAAGATCCTTTTTTAATTTAAAACTTGAATTAAATTGATCCTTTATTAGCTCGAGTCGGTCTCATGCACATCGGAGTTTTTATTCTGCTCCTTTTGAGTGGCGAAAGGAATTTTGGAGTCAGGCTGAATAAACCGTACACGGCGACCATCCCAATGGACATTCCAGTATTCACAGGTGCGAGTTATTATCAACTTTTTTACTTAGAATTACAGTTTTGTTTTTATTCAAGGCACTCACGCTGATCTCCTGATCACGGTTTTCCACAAGATCATCACCACCGGCCATCAGAGGCTCCAGCCACTTTTCGATTGTCTTTTGACAATTCTCGTAAACGGTAAAAACCTTGACTAATTTATATTCTTTTTAATTATGCCTATTTGAATTAGTTTCTCCATATCTGAAGACCTTGTCAATGGTGGCCAGCACAAAATTGCTGCACCTTTTGGAGGCTTTCAGCACCCCCTGGTTCTTATTTTCCGCCCCGACGAACCACCACCTGGTCTTCTTTCTGTTGGAAATTTTCAACAACATAATCCAGTACCAATTTGACGGTAATTTTTTTGTATTAATTCAATATCCAGACTTAGTTAAATTTAAAAAAAAAATCAGGCAATTCGAACCTGGTCTACACCATCATTCGCAAGCGGCAGGTTTTCCACTCGCTGGCCAATCTTCCGTCAGACTACGGCACCATCAGCCGCTCACTCACCAGGCGCTCGATGCATGGCAAGTCGAGACCCACGGCCAGCAGCCGCCCGACGACACCAACCTTGCCCACGCCTCCGCCAATCCCGCCCGAGGACAAAGCGAGTTCCTCTGCCGAAGCCGACCAGGTGCGGGCGGAGGAGGAAGAGGCCATGGAAGGCTCTCGTCCAGCCATGCCGGCCGAGCCGGGCACTCTGAAGGCCACCTTGCCAGCCATTCCAGGTTTGAATATCAGTAAACGCACAAAATTGCAAGGATTTTGGCTGACCTGAATTTTAGCAATCGACAAAATCACCGAACGCGAGTCCGCACATCCCTCTTCTCGCCAGCTCAACGAACTTACGATTGGCTCGTTGACCAGTCCCGAAAGCGAGGTGGCTTCGTCACTGAGCAGGGCTGCTGCTGAAACCGCCCTCCTTCAAATCAAAGTAAACAATTGAAAAAATAAATTTTGGGCAATAAAATAAAAATTGATTAGGAGGAAGACGAGGGTGAGGCTCCTTCTCTGCAGCGAACCAGAAAAACTAGTCCCACAAGCAGCGAGGCTGGCTCGTCCACCAGCTTGAAGAGAGCCCAGTCCTTGGTAAATCCAATAAAATCGCTTCGAGCTTATTTCATGTCCTAGTTGCTCTTTTGCTCTATTTGCATGACTTAACCATTCTCGCTTTTGTGTGTGTGCAGCGGCGCAGCTTGCAACTGACTGAAGGCAGTTCTTCTCCAACACAGGGTTCTTCTTCTTCTTCTTCTTCGCAGCAACAGCAACAGTGGATTCCGACTTCGGACTGGGTGCAGAGCTGGAAGGGCAAATTGCCTCTGCAGACCATCATGCGCCTGCTGCAGGTGCTCGTTCCGCAGGTCGAGAAAATTTGCATCGACAAGTGCGTTTTCAAATTTCTGGTTGGATATTTTTGACAATAAAATGCGCTGCTTTTCAAAGGGGTTTGACCGACGAGAGCGAGATTCTCAAGTTCTTGCAGCACGGCACGTTGGTTGGTTTGCTTCCGGTGCCTCACCCCATCCTGATCAGAAAGTATCAGGCTAATTTGGGCACAACCAGCTGGTTCCGCACTTACATGTGGGGCGTCATTTATCTGAGGTAAAATTATAATAAATCTTATCTAATTTCAATCTAATTTTGATTTTTCTTCAACAGGAACGTCGACCCGCCTATTTGGTACAACACCGACGTCAAGCTATTTGAAATACAGAGAGTGTAGATTGCAAATATTATTCAAAAGTAATTATTAAAATAATCAAAGTAGGTGACAAATATTCTATTTATTTACACTTAAAACTGTTAGAGTTAGTTAGAAGATCGACGTTGTGTGTGATACTCTGTGACTTAATTATCATTTCCGTGACAATATTAACAAAAAACTATTCATTCTGCATACTGCATTTATATATCATTTTGGGTTTGTGCATTAAAAATCGGATCTCTGTGTGATTTTAATTTATGTAAATATATTAAATTTTGTTGACCAAAAATATATCATGCTTATGACTATGAGAAATAAATCTGAGATATTTTCATTTAAACTGAATTTCCCTCTAAAAAAATATAATTAAATATTGATTCAAGAAATTTGTGAAGCAAAGGATGAAATATTCACACGGCGGTGGGGACTAGAAACGGTGCTCATTTGAGTAGAAGGGGAACGTGGGGCCCGATGCACTTCTTCTCGGCGCAGGCGGTGCGCACCCAACACACCTCTCTCTTCTCAAACACGACGCAAAACGCACGAGCCCCAGTACTTTGTTTGGCGTTGTTGAGATAAGACATTTATCGCGTGCTCAGCTCATTGTTGTCTTATCACACGTGTGTGCGCAGATATTCATCAAATTTTACACCCGTCCGAGACTTCATCTCAAAACAGTTGTAATGCCGCCCGTGTCCAACGCAGTCATGGATCTTGCAGACGATCAACGTTTTGCCCTCATGAAGGTATTAAATTTTAATAAAATTATAAATTATAAGCTAAAAAGCTTCTAAATATAAAATTTTTTCAAATGAATTAAGACTAAAATAAACATAACTGGAAATATTAGTAAAAAATATCAATAATAATAATTAATTAATTTTAATTAATAGTTTTAATATAAAGAAGACAAAACTAAAATTAATTTAGTAAATTTTATTCTAAAATTAAAAAAATAAAATAAAAATTTAATTGAAAAATAAATTATAATATACCATAAAAAAGTAATAATATTTATTTTAATTAATTTAATTTTTATTTTAATTTGGTATGTATTTTTAATACAAAAATTTAATAAACTGTTTTCATTTTTACTCCTCTTTTTTTTAATTTAAAATTTTATTGCGCTAAAAAAAACACACGTTCACATATTTACCAACAAACTGTGTTGACAAGCACGCTTGGCTAAATCTCGTTTTTTGGCTTGCAGCTAGAATAAAATAAAAGCTAGATTATTATTATTTGTATAATGTTCTTGTTTGCCTCTTTTAAATTGACAACAAAACTTCATTTTATTGCTCCTGTGATCTCAAGGTTACAATTGAAGCCGTGAAACATATTTTTGTAAAATTAAAACCGCAGCGACTTTCCTCTACTTTCAATCCTGACGAGCTTAAATTTTTTTTTCGTGATATTTTAATTTTATCCTTTTTTTTATTTATATCTGGTTGAAACAAAAATGTAATAAAATAAACCACTGAAACCAGGAAAAATGCAAACCGTATTGCGGAACGAAGGCCGCGGTCCTGCTTAAAAAATCAGTGCCGTGTCCAAGGAAGGTCAGATGAATTAAAATTGTTCCGACGAAAATGAAATGGGATTTCTGCAAATTTCACCTTGCTGAGTCACGTGGCCAGTTTTGTCATGTTGTAGCTTTACGGCTTTTATTAATTATGTCCTGATCAATTGACCCTGCAAAACTAAATATAGGCCACAAAAAATGAATTCCTTATTGTTAATTTGTATCGCAAATATGAAAGTAAAATTGTAAATTGAATTAAAAAAATTCATAGTATGTTTTGGGCGTACGTGCTGGGAAGACCGCAGATAATTTGTTTACTAATCTTATCACTTTTTAACCAACAATGTGCAGCAAAAACACACAATCAATTTATCACACTTATCATATTTTCAAAAGGATATTTTTGAAATTAATTGAATATAAAACTAAACAGGGGAATAATAAAATTTATAGAATTAAAGAGAAGCAAATGAAGAAATATAATTCAATATTATATAAAAAAAATTATAAAAAATAAAATAAACCCTAATTTATATTATTATAAATTATTTATTTATATTAGGCAATAATTAGACCGACGGGTGAGTCAATTGCGGCTTCGTTTCATAATTGCGCAGGTCAATTGTAATCACTGCGATTATTGAAACGCATAGAAAAGAAACTGTGTCGTTTTGAAATGCGATTGTGACTGACACAGGCGTCGAACGGGGCATTGGCCGGTCCGCAGCCGCCGCCGCCGCCGTCGCGTGAAAGTGCAAGTGCATCTCGAGCGTAAGCTCAATTATTACGGCACAACAACATACCCGTCGGGCAAGCAAAAGCAGCAGCGTAATTAGCCTTGAACGATCAAGGCCGACCGCTCGGACACCAACTACGATGCATTTACGCGTAACAATTATATTGGCGCACTAGATGACAACCAGGACGCGGAATTTCGTAGAAAATGAAACAGGTCTAGCATGTTTGTATAATTTTTAATTGAAAAAGGAGAATAACCAAGTCATTAAGTGAATAATATGCTAACAACTCATTCTTTGGTAAAATAAACACAATTGAAATACATAATTGTAATTGTTAATAAGAAGTTTCCTTATAGCTCAAACTATGAAATAAATTCAGTTTGAAAATTTTCTTAAAAGCCTCCATTTATTTTAGTGAAGAAATTATTGGCGCCCGAGAAGGCAAATTGGGAGATTTGGAAGTGAAGAAAACAAGTTTTATCCGGTTTTATCATAGATGAAAGAAAATTGTTTTTTTTTCTTAAATTTAAAAAAAAAACCATAATAAAAAACAATTTTTTTGAGGACAAAGTCTGATTTAAATACAGTAAAAAGAATTATGTATGCATATTGTAGAGTGAAAAGCAGATATGCGCACATAAAATAATAAAATATTTGTTATTAAAAAATTTTATTATATTTAAACCAATTATATTAAATATGATATGTATATAAATTTAACACATTATTTAATAGTTAAATATTAATAAAAAATAATAATAATAATTTATATTAATTAAAAAATTTAATTAAATTAAAATAACAACAAAATTTCATCACACAAAAACTTTTGCTAAAATTTTTAATTAAAAGTTTAAATATAATAAATAATTTTTTTAATGCAAACAAAATAAAATTTAATTTAAATAATATATTAATGCTCGTTTTTCGTGTCATTATTTAAAAATGATGAATTTCATTAGAGATCCCCAAATTTTTTTGAAAATCGATTTATCGTAAATCGATTTTGGAAAAAAGAAATCGAGCCTAGCATGTGTGCAGTGGAGGGGGGTCGATTTTGGCGGGAAAATCGATTTAAATCGTCCTCTTTGCAAATCGATTTGCAAAATCGATTTTTTTTGGAGATCTCTAAATTTCATCTCTTGTAAATGTAAATAAACAATTATTTGACGAATAAAGGTATTTGAAAAATACATAAAAAATAACACGCAATTTAAGCTCTACATATAGTCAGTAATTTTTAGCTGCAAGCTCATTTCCGTTGGACTTAGCAAGTCTTTTCTATGATGACAGTGCTTTTTTGTCATTTTTCTTTAAAGTTCAAGCACATGCATTTTTTTTTACTCAGCGCTTTTTTTTTAAATACTTAAGGGTAGGGAATAAATAAACTTGTTGAGTTCACGATAGACATTTGAATCTATCAATTTTTAATGGATAAAAGGAGATTTCCTTTAATCCATTTTATATAAATTTCTTTTATTTCACGCATCGCAAATTTTTGTTTGTCTTAAAAAAGCCACTCAGATCTGAAATCAGAGCTTCAGTTTTGCCAATTCCGTTCACTTTTCGCTCCAATTTGCCAACTCGGAGAAGTATTCAAAAGTTTACGCTCTAAAAGCTACTCGCTTTTCACAACGCCAAAAGCTCACGCGATTCGCGGTAATGACATGCAAGAAAGCTGCTGACAATCCTCACGCTACAATTCCTTTCTTCGTAACTCACAAATCTGTCGATTCACGGGTCTTTTTTTCTGCAAAATTCGAAATTTATCAATAGACGATGATTCGAATGTTGAAAACTTTTTCTTAATATGAACAAATCAAGCAAGTATATAGAAATTAAGTAATCGCGAACGAGTTTGGTATTTAATTATTTCCCACACCAAAGTTGCACATTTTCATATTATTCCTGTTTGTGACGTTGCAAAGTGTGATTTATTATTTATTTTGCAACGAGAATAAAAAAAGATGATTTACTTGTCGCAACCTTTTTATCACATCTTTTTTTTATATACAAAGTGCGACTTTCTCATAGGGGTACGTGTTAAATGGACTGTCACCTTGGCTCGAAAAATAGCGATAGGGACGGCATCAGAAAGTGCACGCGGAGTGTTATTATAATTTATAATTTATGTGAATTGCGCGGGAGAGGCTCTACTCCTTTTGTGTGTTAATTTCTTCTCTCTTGTGACACACAATGCAGTGCAATGCAGCGCCGGCCAAGTTGACACTTTCGCGACAGAGCCCTCAATAATAATCCAAGGCGTTAATAAAAAGAAACTCTCAACCGCAGTGCGAGTTTGAAATTTTTAATTAACACCAATATCGGTGAAAAGTTCCGCACGTCACGGGGTGTGCTAAAAAAAAGAAACGTCTTTGTGCAAAAAAATTGATTTGTTAAGAAAAAGGTGTGTGTATTTTTATCCACGATCAAGATTAATTTTTAATTGTTAAAAATTGATTGAAACAATAGCCGGGAAGTAGAACGACGCTTCCGTTGTTTGAAATCGGCTCCGATTCAGGTGAATGAAAAGCTTTTGGGAGTGACTTGGCGAATTTTCGCTTGAGTGTTCCCAGAGTTCAAACAACCACTCAAGAGGTTTGCTTTTCTCTAGGAAATTTATGGTTCGATATTGAGTTTTATTTGAATTTGAAAAATCTCTTCTATTAAGATGTGGCTAGACGAAAGTATGAGCTAATATTTATTTATTTCTATTGTAAATAATGACGCCAATTTAAATATTGGCAAAATCGGTAATTTTTAGCAAAACAAATCAGCAGATTTTGAAGACTTCTCTCTATTATTAATTAAAAATATACAAAAACAGGAAAATGTGAACACATAATTTTTATTAGTTTTATCGTTTGCAAAATATCTTTATAATTACCATTTATTTCTTGTAAGAAACAAAAATTTTACTTGATTATATATAATTGTTTTTTAATTTTGTTTACATCACAAATTTACGCCTGTTTTTAAAAATGAAAAGTGAAAATTGCGTCTGGTGAGTCTGGCGGAGAGCATAGATCGCCGGCACATCGAGGTCAGTGTTTTTTTCTCAAATAGGCCGCTTACGACATTTTAACTAACCGGTGCCGAGCTGGAGAACCTGCTGCAGAGGTAAAGTCGAAGAGGCTGTTTGGTTGAACGAACGCCGCGCGCACACACGTAATCGAGGCTCAATGCCAGAGGACAAGCGACTGGCGAAAGATTGCATAGCGTGCGTTTCAATTGCAAAACATAAACACGGCTAACCGCATTAGAAATAAAACTAGATAAATCAGAACATATTTGAAATAATAAATTTTTAGGAACAGTGTATTTGAATTTTGTCGTTTTTCCGATACAAAAATTAAAAATTTTATTAAAAAATAACATGAATTTAGGGGAAGGTTCTTAATTACAATAAATGTTATTTAATTAATGGAAATAAAATTGTTTTCAATATAATTTAATAAGGAATTTTAATTTTATTTAAAACTGCTTAGAAAAATTTATTTTTATATTTTACATTATTATAAAATAAAACTAAATATTAATTTTCAGGAAAAATGTTTGAATGTTTTACATACAAACTTAAGTATTATTAAAAAATAACATTAATTCATGGAAAGTTTTTTGATCAAAATTATTGTTTAATTCGTTTAATTATGAGTAATAATTGTAATATAATTTAATAAAATATTTTATTTTATTTCTAACTGAATGAATAAAATTTATTTTAATATTAAGAAATATTAAAAATAAAACATCAAATAAAATTATAGTAAATTTAAATCAATAATCTTATTTTACGTAGTTATATAAAATAAATTATTTTTAATTTCATATACAAAATTATAATAAAAATTGTTATCTTCAAAATTATTATTTTAATTATTTTCTTACAGTTAGGAAATTGAGCCGTTTTCAGCAGCTCACAGTTTTTTTCCTTTACAAAAGCTAATTAAAATTTGATAACAATCAAACTGATTCGATTTTAGCACACGTACCTGTCTGAAAATGTACTCGAGCCATAAACAAGGAAATATATTTTACTTGTTCCATTAAACGTGTTGCACTTTTCCCTTTCAATTTAATTTCTCTCTCTCGTTATATAGAACAATGCAGGTGCAACCAATCGAAGAAAGCTTAGCACCAACACTCAATATACTCTCGTTCACCTTTAAGGACAAAACGCCAATTAACCGTTGAATAGCGATTGTGCAGCATCATCCCTTTTTCCGCGCACTTGTTGCACTTTCAAAGTTCGTCGGTGACACCTGAGATGGTACTTTTGTGCTTACGAAGTCGTTGCAACAGAACGAGAGACCGCACAAAAAAGAATTATTTCACTTTCTCAATCGCGCGCTGATCGATACGGCAAAAAAATCCAATGCTGCGCAAATGCATCAAACTTCTCATCTTCGCTCTGAGCTTTGAAAAAGAAAAACTGAAAAACAGGCGCTCACAATATCCAACTAGCAAATGTGGATTTCTTATTGTACTTTTCTTTTACTTTGTTTGTGGTTAATTAAAAGGTTTTTGTGTGTTTCAGTTTCGCCGCAGCGTTTCAGACTGTCTGAAGCCAGGGCAAGGCGATCCGTATCTGCTGCGATGGCTCAAAGGTATGCGTGGCGCGAGAAAGTCCTCAATTATTTCTTGCAAAAAGCAATATAATCGCGAAATATTTTTTGCCGCCAAGGAAAATCCGGCGCTGCAATTATAATTATAGTTGTTTACGAGACCGCAAAACTTTGTGCAACCGCGACTGAAAGAACAAAAACTTTCAACCACACAATTAAATTTACAGAATTTTTATTTATTTTCAGCGAGAAATTTTGATCCCGAAGCCGCCGAAAAAATGCTTCGCGAGGTTTGTAATTTGCTAATCAAATTATTCTCTTTGTAAAAATCGATTTAAATATTCGCAGTCGCTTCAGTGGCGCACGCGGTGGGACGTGGACCGTCTTTTGACCCACTGGGAGCCACCCCTGGTGCTCAAGCAGTTTTTCCCAAGTGGAATTTGCGGTACAGACAAGGAAGGTGTTCCTGGTAATTTTTAAAAATTGAAAAGGTTTTTTGTTATTTAAAAAACTTTGCTAAACAGTTATTATGCTGCCATTCAGCGGTCTGGACATTTGGGGGTTGCTGCACTCGGTCTCAAAGGCCGACTTCATCAGAATGACGGCGATGAGCTTAGAAAAATACTTGGGCGAATCCACGGCGAATTTGGAAAAAGCTGGAAAACCTTCGTGTGCACCGACCCTGATCGCTATCATGGACATGGAACATTTTTCCATCAAACCTTATACCTGGAGGCCAGGTTGGCATTATTTTTATTCAAAGAATTAATATTCTCAGATAATTTTTAGTGTGCGTGTGTTTTTTTCTGTTCAAATTAGTGTAGAGTAGTGTTTTGTTTGTGTTGTAAAATGTATAGCATTTTCAGGGGTTAATTTTTTAAGAGATTTTTTCCGTGGATTTACTGAAACTGTGCGAGAAACACTTGGCTTTAAAAAGAATGGAATATACAAACAAAAATTTTGACTTTAATTGAAAAATTAATTTTGAAAAATGTCTCAAAAAGTAATCACAAAAAATCAAAATTTCAATTAAAACTCGGAAAATTAGGGTACACAGAGCAACACAACTGGTCTGGATCGCGATTTCGCCCAATTCCAGTGCAGGGCTCATCAGCAGACCTGAATGTTTCAACTGAGACATTTTTAAAAATTAATTTTTTAATTTTTAAAGTCAAAATTTTGGTTTGTATATCCCATTCTTTAAAGCCAAGTGTTTCTCGCACAGTTTCAGTAAATCCACGGAAAAAACCTCTTAAAAAATTAATATTTTATTTATTTAATTTCTATTTTATTCAATTATGTTGATCTGTTTTTAAATTGTACTTTAATTGAAATATAATATTTTATTAAAAAACAATTAAATTTATGGAAATGAAGCGATCGGGCTTTTCCTCTGCAACGAGGAAAAGCCCGATCGCTTCATTTCCATGACCATCTCCTCGAGTGTCAACTTCTTCAAACAAATTAAATTTATTCCTGGAAATTCTCACTCTCTTTAAAACAAAAGATGATAATAAATTATTATTTACAGCTGGAGAAGTTGTTCTCAGTCTAATTCACATGTATGAGGCGAACTACCCTGAAATCCTCAAGGCCTGCTACATTATCAATGGTAGGATTTGAAACTTTTCTCATAAAGTGTTTATCAATTAAAATTTTCGAATTTCCGAGCAGCGCCGAGCATTTTTTCAATGGCTTTTTCAATCGTGCGGCCGTTCCTGCACGAGAACACGGTGCAGAAAATCCACATCTTCAGCAGCAACACGCGCAAGTGGAAGGCCGCCCTGCTTGAGCACATCAACACCGACCAGCTACCAGCGCATTACGGTGGCACCCAGGTCGGACCTGACGGAGACACCAAATGCACTCACAAGGTACTTCAAAATAACCTAGCATGAATTAATTATTGTTTTTTATAATTTTGTTGGTTCATTTTCTTATTAATAATTTTATGTATCTTCATTAAATAAAAAATATTATTTATATTAAATTAAATTACAGGTGCACCAAGGTGGAAAAGTTCCCAAATCCATGTACCAGAAGGCGGAAGACCTGAAGGACGACATTGGCGGCGAGTGGTTGTCGGCCACTGTTAAAAAAGGCGACCGACTTCAGCTGCATTACGATGTTGCAGAAAAAGGATCGTTTTTAAGGTATAATTTTTTTTAAGAAAACAATTTTTTTTCATTTCAATAATTTATTTTGAATTCAAGTCGTAATTAAATTATCAGAGATCTTTATGGGTTGGGGGGACAGTTAATTTGGTCAACTGGGAGGTACTTTTCACTGGCCAGTCCGTTGGCAGCGACAACGCTGTCGATGGCGGCAAGAGTAGCTGCGCTCGGCTCGATCTCGCGGGTCAAAATCCACGAAAATTCTAAATTTTTAATTTAAACTTTTGATCTAAAGCAAGGAAAAAAATTTAACTTACGAACGGATTGATCTCCGGATGTGGAGCAAGACCAGACGACAGAGTATTTGTCATAGTCGGTGTCAAGAATCCAATAATCTCCGTCTTAAAAAAAAATTAATAATTTTTAGAACTTTTTAGACAATGGGAAAAATTATCTATAGTTGACAAAAAATTTAAACTGACCTGATCCAGCTGTGGGGAAGGTGACAATCAATTTTCCCTCATCGGTGTCGCTGTTTTGGCTCGCATAGCCAACAATGACGTCGGACACATTGGTGCTTTAAAATTTTCTTTATAAGTACAAAAATTCTGTGTCGCTTTTAATTAGAACTTACTTAGAATCAACTTGGTAGTTTCTGACTTCGATGGTACCGTTCAGGTTGTCCGAGTAAGTGGCGGTCACGCACTTTCCATTCAGTTCGAAGAAAGTGAAGAAACGTCTGTATTCGTACCAACGGCCCAAGTACTGCAAAATGCACTTTTTTTTCTAACGAATGAAAATTAAATAATTACAATTAAATACCCTGGGAAGGTCGAAATTCTGCTCAATGGTCACATTTTGGCAGGGCGAATTGATAATGACTTGAGAGTTGACTGCGGCTAAAAAGCACACGCATAAGCTGACAAAAACGGAGGATCTTTTCATTTTACCTCTAAACACAGTTATGTATAATTTATGCTTTGTAAATTATGCAATTTTTTTTTTAACTTACTGCTTTAGTTGCTTTGTTGAAACTAACTCCTCCTCTCCATTTGGCAGAGCTTTTTATACAAAAACTCTGCTTTTTACGTAACCAAAATTCACGCATCTTTCCGATAGCTATGCACTTGACGCACAAAGAGATAAGCTGCGGCAAAGTTGGTCAACATATATTTTACAGATACCGTTAAAATTTGTGAAATTTGTACACAAAAAGCCTGACATCCTTATTAGTTTTAACCATAAAAAGAATTTAATTATAAAATAAAAATAATTTTTATTTTATAATAAATAAAACTAAAGAAAATTACTGTTTGAAATATAGAATTTAGATTATGGTAATTACGCAACTCGAATTATATAATCACAAAATTCAAAACCTTAATTTTCATTAATTTAATTTGATTGGTTACCCTTTTTGTCACAATGGCTTTCAACAATTTTTCCCGTTTAAAAAGTATTGTAGTTTTACCCCCAAAAACGCGGTTTTTATAATTCTGCAACAAATCAAGCTGTGGGCCAGCATGTAATGTCCTAGCTAAGAATTATTCCTCATAATTAAGCTCAAAGTCTCTTTGAGATCTGATCGCCTATTGGTGTCATTAACAAAACAAAAAAAAAATGTTCGTCGTTAAAAAATTTAAATCTAATGTCATTGATTAAAAAAGTTATTTTTATATTTTTTAACCCTAACTTTTCCTTTATAAGAGACATAAGAGCTACTTATAAATTATATAATTTTGATCGCAGGTGGGAATTCAGAACGGAGCAGCACGATATTCAGTTCGCCGTGTACAAGTGCGGCGACGATGGGTCGCGCCAAGCGGTCGTCGAACCGCGCAAGGTCAGCTGCCAGGACAAGGGAGCCCCTGAGGTCGGAGTTCACAACTGCACAGAAGCCCCTGCGAAATGTATCTCGATTTTTGTTTTACGACTAAAATTTAACTAAATTGAGAAAAATTTCAACTTTCAGATATGATTGAATTTGACAATTCGCACAGTATGTTGCGCACCAAGAAGCTGCACTACCAGATTTTGGTTGCGCCTCCACTGCTGGCCAACGCTGACAGCTTGACCGACAGTCTTGCGGCCATCGTCGTCAGTTAAGTCAATTTAAAGCATCGATCCCTCCGAGAAATCCACGTTTTGAGGGTTATTCACATTAAAATTTAACCTAAATTGGCATTACTCGCCATGGAGAATTTTTTTAAACTTTTGATTGGTTGTGGCTGAGAGTGAATAACCCTCCAGAACTGTACTTTATAAACAAGACTTATGCTAAATCATGAAGAACATTGGTATTTTTTTACTCTGTGATATATATTGTAGGTATAATATGTGTTGAGAAAAAATAATCAATATTATTGGAAGCACAAAACTGCGAGTTTTGGACAATTTTGTATTTTACTGTAATATTTACAATAAAAAGGGAGTTTTATTATAAACGAGTTTATATTCCAATATTTTAAAAGGGTAAAGTACTCAATGAAGGAATAATTAAAAAGTTGCACCTCCAAAAATGTGTTTTAAATAATTTTTATTTAAAATACAAAATGACTATAAACGTAAAAATGAGATCTTCAGGGGTCGAGTGGGCAGTTGGTCTGGTCTGTTAAAAGGAAGTTGCCCTTGAGCCCGTTGGCGTCAATGATGACTTGAGCTGCGCTAAGAGTTTCATTGCTAGGCACTCTCTCACGGGTCAGCAACCAAGCGAGTTCTATTGAATTAATTTTTTTAAGACATGAATTTTTGTTTTTTTTGGCGAATGGTGAAAATTGAGAAACTTACGCAAGGATTGGCCTCCGACGTTAGAGCAGGACCAGACAACGGAGTATGAAGAGTAGTCGGTGCCTAAAACCCAGTAGTCTCCGTCCTCTGTAATATTTAAAAATGATCAAAACTAAGCTCAATTATTGAGTTTCCTGGACACCAGTCTCAAAATTCACTGATTAGGCAACCCGCACAGCTCTTGTGCGAAGAAGTTGCCTATAATTTACAAAGGTGTCCGAGGAACCCGAATTTATAATAAAGTTACAATTCCTATGGAAGTGTCGCAATGTTCTGTTCAAATGCAATAACTGACCTTGACCGGTAGTGGGGAAGTTGATCAGCAAAGTTCCTTCGTCAGTGTCGCTACTCTGGTATCCATAGCCAAGAATGATTTCCACCTCACTGGTACTTTTGGTAAAATAAAAAAATAAATAAAAATTGGTAAAGTCTGTTATGTTGATCAGCACTCACTTTGCGTTTACAAGGTAGTTCCTGATCTCAAAGAAGGTTCCGTTAATATTTGTGTAGGTCGCGGACACGCACTTGCCATCAGGTTGGAAGAAAGTGAAGTAGCGCTGGTACTCGTACCAACGGCCCAGGTACTGCAAAGGGATTTTTCTAAAAATTTGTAATTAATAGAGAAATATTTACGGCAGGTGTGTCGAAATTCTGCTCAACAGTCACATTTTGGCACTTTCCTGGGACGATAATTTGAGCGCTAATTGTGGCAAAAAAGCTCACGGCCAAAATTGAGAGGACGGCGAACTTTTCCATTTTTTTCTAAAAAAAAAAAAAAAATGTAATTAAAATTTATGTAAAATTTTTTGTATTTTTACAACTTACTGCTGTACTTGTGCTGTCAAAACTAGCATCTCTTATCCTTCGAGTGACGCTTTTTATACGTATGGCCCCCGCTTATTTTTTATATAATCAAAATTCACCTGACGCATTTAAGATAAGCTATTGGTCAATATGGTACTTGAAGGCGCATATTAATATTTTAATAATTTTGGAAAATACTATGTTATTTTCAATAGTTGTACATTCTTGGCAAAATTTTTATGCTACAAAAGTGAAGATGATTTTTTTTTAATTATTTTTAATTTGCAGAGGAATATCAAAATCAGAGAGGAAAAAATTATGAAACTTATGTAATAGATTGATAGAATTAATTTTGACATTTGTACCCTCGTCATAGTTTGCTATCTTGAAATCGATGTTTGCTCCTAAAATATTGAGATCATCCGATAATAGATAAAAATGTAGAGGACACTATAAGAAGTTACTAAATCTTGCTAATTAAGGGCCAAGCGCAATTAATTATTTCATTTTCCCACAGGGGCCAGTGAATAACCCTCCAGAACTGTACTTTATAAACAAGACTTATGCTAAATCATGAAGAACATTGGTATTTTTTTACTCTGTGATATATATTGTAGGTATAATATGTGTTGAGAAAAAATAATCAATATTATTGGAAGCACAAAACTGCGAGTTTTGGACAATTTTGTATTTTACTGTAATATATACCATATTTTTACAATAAAAAGGGTGTTTTAATATAAATAAATACGAATTTTTATTCCAGTATTTTAAAAGGGTAAAGTACTCAATGAAGGAATAATTAAAAAGTCACACCTCCAAAAATGTGTTTTTAATAATTTTTATTTAAAATACAAAATGACTACAAAAGTTAAAAATGCTGAAATCTTCAGGGGTCGCGGGGGCAGCCGGTCTGGTCTGTTACAAGGAAGTTGCCCTTGAGCCCGTTGGCGTCAATGATGACTTGAGCTGCGCTAAGGGTTTCATTGCTAGGCACTCTCTCACGGGTCAGCAACCAAGCGAGTTCTATTGAATTCAGTTATTTATGGAATTTTGGTTTCTTTCAACATGCGCGCGGTGAAAATTGAAACTAACGCAAGGATTGGCCTCCAGCGTTCGAGCAGGACCAGACAACGGAGTATGAAGAGTAGTCGGTGCCTAAAACCCAGTAGTCTCCGTCCTCTGTAATATTTAAAAATGATCAAAACTGTGCTCAATTATTGAGTTTCCTGGACACCAGTCTCAAAAGTCACTGATTAGGCAACCCGCACAGCTCTTGTGCGAAGAAATTGCCTACAATTTACAACGGGAACCCGAAATTTAAAGTAACGTCCCTAGCAAGTAGTGTCGCAATTTTTTAGTTCAAATGCAATAACTGACCTTCACCGGTAGTGGGGAAGTTGATCCGCAAAGTTCCTTCGTCAGTGTCGCTACTCTGGTATCCATAGCCGAGAAGGATTTCCTTCTCCTTGGAAAAAAGTAAAAAATTGGCAAAGTCTATATATTGATAAACTCACTTTGCGTTTACAAGGTAGTTTCTGATCTCAAAGAAGGTTTCGTTAATATTTGTGTAGGTCGCGGACACGCACTTGCCATCAGGTTGGAAGAAAGAGAAGTAGCGCTGATACTCGTACCAACGGCCCAGGTACTGCAAAGGGATTTTTATAAAAAATTGTAATTAATAGAAAATTTATATATTTACGGAAGGTGTGTCAAAATTCTGCTGAACAGCCACATTTTGGCACTTTCCTGGGACGATAAATTGAGCGCTAATCGTGGCAAAAAAGCTCACGGCCATAATTGAGAAGACGGCGAACTTTTCTAAAAAAAATGTAATTAAAATTTATGTAAAATTTTTTGTATTTTTTCAACTTACTGCTGCTGTACTTGTGCTGTCAAAACTAACATTACTTATCCTTTGATTGAGGCTATTTATACCAATGGCTTCCGCTTATTTTTTAAATAATCAAAATTCGCAAAATTCAACTGACGCATTTACGATAAGCTTTTGGTCAATATGGTACTTGAAGGCGCATATTAATATTTTAATAATTTTGGAAAATACGCTGTTATTTTCAATAGTTGTACATTTTTGGCAAAACTTTTATGCTGTAAATGTGAATTTATTAATTATTCTTAATTTGCAAAGGAATATCAAAATCAGAGAGGAAAAAATTATGAAACTTATGTAATAATTAATTAATAATTAATTTTGACATTTGTACCCTCGTCATATTTTGCTATCTTCAAATCGAAGTTTGCTCCTAAAATATTGAAATCATCCGATAGATAACAATCTAGAGGACACTATAAGAAGTTACTAAATCTTGCTAATTATGGGCCAAGCGCAATTAATGATTTCATTTTCCCACAGGGGCCATTTTCAATATTTCTTAGCACAATATATAATTTTCTGTGCATATGGCTCAAGATTTGTAACCTGAATAGGAATAAATTATTAACTCAGTCGAATGGAGTGAGGCAAGGTGGCTGCACCTCCCCGCTATTTTTCAATATTTCTATTGCAGATATCCAAAAGCTGGTTAAAAAGTATCCAAACATAAAAGCAATTTTTTATGCAGATGATATTGTTTTTACGTGTATTAATTTAGTAGATTTAAAATCACTCCTGGCAGATTTAAAAATGTACCTCATGGAGCGCGGCCTTGAATTAAAAAATGTCGGAAAATGCAAAATTATGAAGTTTAGAAATGGAGGAAAAGGGAGGTTAAAGAAAGGCGACTCTTTGTTGTTTCAAAATGAGGAAATTGAATTTGTTAATGAGTTTACTTATTTAGGAGTAATTTTTCAGCCCTCAGGGGTGACTTTTAAAAACATATCGAAAAGCGAGTGAGAGCGGCGTTACTCTCAATGTATAGCGTAGAAGAATTGCGGATGCTTTCGATTGACACAGCATTGAAATTATTTGAGCTGAAATTTGCTCCTATGGCCTCGTATGGTATTGAAGCGATTTGGAAGTATTTAAAAAAGGAAGATTTTGTGAAACTGGAATGTGTAAAGAGTAGGTACTTGAAAAAAGTACTAGGTATGTCAAAATACACGAAATCTCGCTTTGTGTATGAGCTTGTCGATACCGATTTATTTATTTCTGATTTAAAAGAAAAATTTGACCTTCCAGTGAAGAATGCATTTGAAACTTTTTGTTATGAACAATTGCTGAAGAAATTGAATATTTGTGATGAATTTCATGGTACGGAGACGATGATTAAAGAAAACTGGAAGGCGGCGCAATTTAAGGATAGACATGTTTTCACCAGATACGCGTGTCATGGTTTTCACTTTTTGTTTTGTACAAACAGTACATATCACTGTGAAGCATTGGAAAATTGTATCTGTAAATTTTGTGGTGGAGTTTGTTCACAGTATCATATAATAGATTGTGTAAAAAACAAAATGCGAATCTGCGAGAAGCAGCAAAATGTAAAGCCAAGTGAATTGGGAGGTTATATTGTTAGAGTTAATTTGTGGCACGCCTACGGCGTTCATTTCAATAAATTACAATAGGAATAATTTTTTTAATTTTATTTTGATCAATCTGAAAAACAGAGGGGCAAAAAAACAAGCTTTATTTGTAAAAGGTTAATCTTTAATTATAAATTATTGACAAAAAAAGATTTTTTACATGATGTCAAATATCAATTTTTATTTTAATATTTCAAAAACAATTTAGACAATTTGCAGATACATAGAGCTGGAGCAATAAAAGTGTATGTTTCAAGCTCTCCAAAACATTATCTTTGCAAGATCAAACCAAGCAATTTTATTTAATCAAATAAATGCTTAACAATCACAAAATCACAGAGCATCGAGTCCTTCTAGTGCAATGCGAATTGTCGTTTCACTGCCACCCTCTTGATGCGAGACCGTCACATATTGGATGGACGGGTCTACGTCTTCCGTGTGAGTGCCCATATGTTTTTGAAGAGTCAGTTTAGTAGTGAACTGCTTGTCACAGTAATGACACACCAAATCACTGGCTGTAAGCTTGGTGTGAACTACAGCTTTATGTTGCGCCAACTTACGGCTTGTGTTGAACATTGCGTCACACGATGGGCATCTGAAATGAAATTTGAATCAAGTTATTTTACAAATTCATTACAGAATAAAATAAATAAAAATTCTACGGGAAAAAAATATAATAACCGTTCCTTTTAGGAATTGTTAAAAAGTTTAAAACTTACTGGAACTCGCGTATGATGTGATGGACCTTGACCTCATGTTGTCGAAGAAGTCCTTCGTAGGTGTAGTGTCTGTTTGGGCAGATGTCGCAAGAGAACTTCTGCAAGTTGTGCACACTCTCCTTGTGCAGGGCCAGGTCAGCATTGGTAGGGAAAACCATGTCGCACTCACGGCAAATGTGGCGACGTTTAGCCCTCGTCTCTGCAAAGATGAGCAAAAATTAGCTTTTCAGAATTAAATAATTTGGCTTTAGGTTGATTAAAACAAAAATTATTTTTACTTTTAATTTTGGGCACCCCATCTTCGCTCTTCAACTTCTTAGTTTTGCCTTTGTTCACCCTGTGGTTGTTGTAAACATGACGATCTCGCACCACCTCACTGCCAAACTCTCTGTTGCAGAAGTTGCAAACGGCGTGCGAAAGGCGCTGCACCTTGATTTCAGCGTTCGGATGAGACTCGTTGCAGTGCACCGTGATGTCGTCCAGGGTGCTGTGCTCCTTGCCACACTCGAGGCATTTGTAGTACCACGTTGACAGGTGGTGCGACTTGATGTGCACGATCAGGTACTTTTTGCTCTGGAAGGTCTTGGTGCAGTGCGCACAGTGGAGCAGCTCGCGGCTCTCGTCGTGCAGTCGCAGGTGATTCAGATACGACGCCTTGTTGGAGAAAAGTTTGCCGCACGACGCGCACTGGTGGTCCTGCAATTTAATTTTTTTGAAAATAAACAATTATAATACAATTAGGAAAAGAAAAATACATTTGAGGCTAAATGAAGATGCATGTGCGCTTTGAGTTTGCTCGTAGAGAAGAACAGCCTGTTGCAGACAGGGCACGTGAAGGTGCTTTGGTTCAAGTGGAAGGCCTTCGTGTGATTCTCCAGGGTGATAACGCTGCGGAAAACTTCGTCACACTCGTTGCAGGCCACTGCGTACTGGTCGTGCAGCATCGGAATGTGTTCTTCGAGCGCCGATCTCTCGTCGAAAGACTCTTTGCACTTGTCACAAAAGTACTTGTTGTGCTTCTCGCGGTGGTGCTTCACTAAGTGCAGCAGACTCTGAGACTTCTCTTCACAGATCCGACAAACCAGATCATAGTTGTTTGTTTGCCTGAAGAAAATTTAACAATTTTAATTGCGGATATTTCTATTTTGAGCATTACCTAATTTTAAGTCCGGCTTGTTCACACTCTTTTTCCAGTTCTTCCTTCTCTTTAACCCTGCAAATAAATGAAAAATAAAAAAAAATGTAAGCAAAATTTTTTCCTGTTGCAAATATTACGTTGTTAGCTTGCTTATGGACATGTACTTCGGACCCTGCTTTTCAACTATTTCCTGCAGATGCACAGTGCAGAGGTGCTCTTGAAGCTCCTTCTTATTGTGGAAAGTCTCTTTGCAGAACTGGCACGGCACAAACTTCATGCCGGGTGTCTTGCAAATTTCGTGTGACCTTAAGTGCAATTCGTAGCCCTTCTGCGTCTCAAATGAGCTAAATCATCAACATTTTAATCCGATTAAGAAAATCAATAATGACAGATTTTACCATGAGCAATACTCGCAGGACCTGAGATGTCTGGCTTCCATGTGTTCTGCCAGGTCATCTTTGTTGGCAAAGGCGTCGTTGCAGATGCGGCAGAGGAACTCGCTGTGGAAAACTACGTTGTGCTTCCGCAAATCAACGATGTTATCCTCCTTGCAAAGCCAGCAAGTGGATCCAAGGGGCACCTTTTCTCTCTCCTCCTTGTAAAGCATGTTGAAGATCTTTTTGTGCGGATCCTCTTTTTTCTGTCGATGCCAAATAAGAGTTTAGTAATTCACGCACCAACTTTATATTTACAACTTGGAATTTGATTCCTTGCTTATCAGCCATTTCACGGAGTCTTTCCTGAGTCCGCATTGCCATAATGAAGGTGTCGTAGGCGAGATTCAGGTTAACAATGCATGATGCACACAACTTCATAGGTAGCTTGTCATCATCGGCAATCTAGGTAAATATCATAAAATTATTTATTTAAAAATAGTTAAATTTGCTGAAAAATTTCAAACTGACAATTATAATGGTTTATTAAAATGTTTTCCAGCTTACATTTTTTGAGAGAAGCCATTCGAGTTTGAATTTAAGGTCCCGGTGAGTGCCGTCAAAACCAAGGATCAGGGTCATTTTTTCGGAGACTTCACCACACATTCGGCAGTGCTGACTGAGAGTTGGATTGGAGCTTTTTTTAGAAGTTGCTTTCTGGATCGACTTCTTCGAATAAGCCTACAAAACACAATTTGATAAAGTAATAATGTGAAAAAAAAAACAGATTTTGTAAATTATTACTTTGGGAATTGAGTCTGGAAGGGTGAGCTTGTTGTTGATTGGAAGCATGAGGCGGTACTTTGACGTGGGTTTCAACACCCCAGTGGCAATTTCCTCGCGGTCGAGACTCTTGAAAGGCACCAAAACCTCTCGCAATTTGACGCCGTTGAACTCTTTGATGGTGGCTGCTGGTTCCTCCTTGCGTTTCTTACGTTGGGTCACGGAGGCAGGACAGAAGGCCGCGTGACAGTTGATGGTGTTGACAAGGACACCGTCAAAGTCCGTGGCCACCATGCAGCGGCAGTCCGCGGACGACGCACAGGCCCACATGATGTAGCTGGTGTCATCGACCAAAGCGAAAAACTTGTACTCGCTGGTGTCGTTTGTGATGATTTTCATCTTTGACAACTTGCTGTGGTACTTTTCCTCGGATGCGATTTCACGCAACGTCAAGGTTGCTGCACTTCCTGCAGCAGGCGCAGCCGTCATCGTGTTGAAGGGTATTTCCAGACTTCAGAATATGCGAAACACTGGAAAAATCAAATAAAATTAATATTTGTAAAAAAAATCAATGAATTTCAAAACGATTTATAAATAATTTAGGTCTCCAGATTTTCCTTCTTTAATTTTCGGACGATTCTGAGAAAAAGGAAAATTATTTATTATATTTTAAGTAATTACTATATGTATTGTAATTAATTATATTGAATTATGGCAAATATTTTTAAATTTTAATAATTACAAAATAAAAATAAAATTCATAAAAATTTTTATTCATAATTTCCTTCCGTAATTTATGTAATTTTCAAATTTTTGTTTAACTTTCCTTAATTAAAAAAAAAAAACAATTTCATGTATTATTATTTTCTTTATATATACAGATCTATACGGTGATCAAATTGATTGATAATTTTTTTCTGGTACATACATAAATGATCGACTGCACTGCAGCTAGTGCAGCCATACATAATTATGTTCGCAGCATGATAAAAATAATAAAATTAATACAATTATGGTTTTTAATGGCGTATAAATACCATAAAGAACTTCTAATTGAGATAGTATGTCTTCATCTTTTTTTTTCTGGGTAAAAATGCTGAATTATATTTTAAATTTAATATTCATCCAAGGAATGCGACAACGGAAAAATGTGTGTCTTCGCGCTTATATGACTTTTAGCGGGTAATCTGATGCAAATCTTCGACGCAACAATTCGCGCACTATTTGTTAAAAGAGAGCAAAATATTTTACCACTCAACGATAATCCAGAGCTTCAAATTTCTGCAACAAATCTAGACAGCTACAAAAGGGCGGCCGTGTACATCCGACATTTTCAACAAGCAAAGTTGTTAAAAATAAAAAAGGTAGAGTATCGACGCCATCTTATTATTGCGCTTGCGCGCGAATCGCTGATGTTGCGGCGGGCAAACAAAATTGCAGATGGCCGTCACTCGGATTTCTCCTCTTTTGACTCAACAAGCTCGACCCCTTTGTCCTTCGATTTGTAAACATTGGAAGAGCGCTCAAATTTAAATTGCTCTCTCTACCTCGGGAGAGAATACACAATTTTAATTAGGAGATTATTTGTGTTGTCTTGACCCTTAAGATTGACATTAAAATAAGCTCTAACAATGCCCTCAATTGACGAAGATGTTGAAGACTCCGAGTACCAGTTGGTTTTTCGCATGGACAACGTAAAAAACATCTACCATCTCCTGAAGGCTATAAATTTCCATCCGGTTTTTACTTCCATCATTAAAATCTCTACTGGATAATAACAACTTTACCCTCTAATTTCTAGAAAGCAACCTGTTTTGCCACAGAAAGTGGATTGAGGGTGTCCGTCGAGTCCGGGAAATGCAGTCAGGCCAACGCATTTATCCAGTCGGAGATCTTTCAGGTTCAAACCAAAAAAAGCTATAAAATCCAGTAGTATAATAATAATAAGATTTTCTTTCTCACTTCTCAGGAGTATCAATATGATAAAGAAGAGGAGAGTGTCAACTTTAGTCTTGACTTGAGCGTCCTGCTGGAGTGTCTCGACATTTTCGGGGACGCGACAAGCTCTTCCTCCTCAACAGCATTGAAACTCAGATACAAGGGCCATGGAAATCCAGTCCAGCTCCTGTATGAATCAACTGAAGCCCATATAAAGGAAATTGACACTTACCAAATATTTAATTATTCTAGATTGGAGGAGGAAGATGTGTTGACGGACTGCTCAATCCGAACTATGGAGGTGGACGAACTTTCCAACTTTGAGTTCACCTCAGACAATGTGATAAACAAGATTATCCTGCGCTCTGAACCTCTGAAAGAAATCTTGAACTCTGTTGATCCCAGCACAGATTCCATTGAACTGGTTCTCCTCTCCAGTGAGCCTGTGGTGAAAATCAAAACTCTCGGGTATATGGGTGAATGCGAGGTACATTTTTCAGCATTTTATGTTATTGGTGTGAAAATAAAAATTTTAAATTCCAGATTGTATTTAACAAGGAAAGTGATATGATTGAGCTTTTCCAATGCGAGTCTGATTCTTCCTCTAAGTAATTATTTTCTGTATTTTTTCCAAAGTTTTAAGAAGTGTTCTCTTGATTCCAGGTACAAGTTCGCACATTTCAAGCCAGCTTTAAAAGCTCTGAACATTTCTCAAAAGGTCTCAATTAGGACAGATGATAGAGGGCTTCTTTGTATGCAGTTCATGATTAAAAATGATGATGGCCATATCTGCTTCATTGAATTTTATGTTAGTATTTATTATAATTTATCTGGATAATTAATTGAATAATTATTTTATTTCAGAGTTTACCAGTATCCGAAGAGGATGACTGAATAAAAGGCAACTTTTTACAAATACGGATTCAAATCTTGCATTTTCTTTATTAGTTTAATATAAAAATACGACATTTTTGTTATTTGGGATGTCTCCCATCCCACTTTGCACAACAGACGCATTACCACGAATTGGTAACAAAAAATATTCATAAACCTATGAACTATATTGTCATGTCGTCTTCAAACAATAAATTAAAAGCCGACCTCCCATGCAAACTGTAACATAGGAAGCGGCTGAGACATTTTAATTGGCACCCCAGTAGCTGGGGCAGCAATACATTTCAATTTTACATTAGTAAATAGTTTGTGTGCCAAAAAACTGTTCGTAGTGATATAAATAATTTACAAATAACATCTAATACGGTCGGAGGTACTCTTGAGTTTTACTTTCTATATTGAGTGAGGAGAGAGAAAGAGATGCAAGTGAGTTGTAGTAAATAGCAACAAATGGTGGTCTGCAACAAACAGACAACACAGGCGATGAGGCACGTGATGTATCACAGACCATACGCTCTTGCTCCGAGCGAGAGTTGTCATTTGACTGCTATCGACGGTCGTAATCTCTTCCTCAGGGGCACACTGCTGGAGCGAAGCTCTCTCTGCACTAGTGGCAGCGACTTTGTACCTTTTTCCGGCCGCCCTCTGTTCTCACCCTGAAATTATGTTTGAAATTTAGAACAAATAGCATGAAAATAATTTTGAGCACTTACAAGGCCTAGCCTCCTTTTAGCAGGAACTGAATCAGCTGGATGGAGGTGACGCTTTTTGGCTTTGCCGTCCTCAGGCAAGACAGCACCCCGGACAGTTTTGCTAGGAAGGGGTTCCTTCGAATTCAGAAGGGGCACCGTTGTGTTTGTGAGAACTGCAGACTCCTGATTTGGAGGAGCAGCCTCTGGAGTTAGAGGTGGGGAATCTAAAGGGCTGTCTTGCAAGACGTCCAGGTCCTCAGCACTTTCCTCTGGGTCTTCCATCAGAGTGTTTCTGTCCCTCCTGTGGGCTGGACTCGTTGTTGCCAATCTGCCTTTTTGCTGTCTCACCTACATTCGAATTTTTGCATAAATTTAGAACAAAATGTTGCAACGGTAAAATACCTGAAATCTAGGAGGGCCAGGTGGATCGAGCATCAAAGTAACAACGCTTGTGTTATCCGCCCTCATTCTCAAATTTGCCCACTGCTGCAAGGCTCTCTCGACCAAGCAGTGAGAAGGATTTATCCAAGATTCCTGCGACTGATGAAAATATTTGTAAAGAATATGGAATATGGAGTCATTTCAATGAAAATTACCTCTTCGTAGCAAGACTCGTTGAAACGTTCAGTTTGCTGGACAATCTGCACAGCTTGTTGAGGCGTCATTACGTTCCAGAGACCATCAGTGCCGAGGACCAGGCAACGGTGCTTGCTGGCATCAGCTGCCAGGACATGCACATCAGGCACAGGTGAAACCACAAATGAGTCCTGCTCCTGGTTGTGACTCCAGAGATCACCTACGTACAATCAACAAAGGTTTAGCAATACCTTTAGATAAAACGTAAAATAGTACCAAGGGCGCGTGCAACGGCCAGGAAAGGAACCTCGTCAAAGGGTGTTGAGCGGCGAATGGGACCTTTGTGCCCAGGCTTCGGCCGATTCCATACCACTCGAGGTACTCCCATTTTATTCACAACTTTGCCTCCAGCATCGTGAATTCTTCTTGACTCCTTTTCACATTCAGGCTTGTGGTCGTTTGTCAAAGGCATTGCCTTCCACTCTTCTTCCCCTACAAAGTTTTGATAGCAGATATATTATTTTTCTTTAAAAAAATCAAATACTGAAATAAAATATTCTGCTATTGCACAATGTTATGTAACAATATATAGCTATAGTAAAAACAATTTCAAGATAATATTTTTTTATCTATACTTAATTTAATTTAAAATTTTTAAATTTATTTCCACTTACGATCATCAGAACAGCCGAGAACAATTCCCGAGTCACCAACATGACCTATATAGATGCGACCCCTTCTGATGAAGGCGACACTGGCTGTCGTTCCAGACGTACTTGGCAGCCCACTTGACGTTTTGGGCCACGTTTCTGCAATGGAAACATTAATTGAGTGCAAAGTTAGATTCGAATTTAATGAATGCCATGTGTGATCATGGAATTCAATTGTGTTATTATTGTGACATTCGTACCAACTACGCTCCACATAGCGTTGTGGGTGGCAACAAAGCCGTCAGTGATGGCACGCAGGACGTCTTCATCGCGGTCCGACCAAAAGTTTTTTTGTTTCACAATCAAGTCCATCAAGTGGTCCTTGGCATACTGGGCCGCCTCACGACCACCGTGGCCGTCGAAGATGCCAAAGAAGGCGTACTCGAGGTCCTTCTCGTCAGCCGTTGACTGGTAGGCCACGGAAAAAATGTCTTCCATGTACTTTCGGCCGCCTTGGTGGCTGTGACCAGTTACCCGAAGGTTCACGCCGATGCTAGGCGACATTCTTGAAACTTTTCTAAGTCACCAAATGCGTCAGAAATCACTGAAATTGCAGACAAAAACAAAGTCCACTTGAGAGACAACACAGCAATGACGCCATGACACTTTTCGACCGACCTCCAGTTCCCTCCTTTGCGCTGATTGGTCCGTTTCGGTTCGAACCGTTAACGGGGGTTTTTGAACTCTGATTATTATTTGCCAACTTAAATCTATAGAGTTGAAACTTTTCTGTCTTTGATTTATCTAAAAATATTATTGTCGCTATAAGTGCTGATTTTGTTACTTGTGCGTTTAAAATAATTTTTAGGAGTAACATACATGCAAATCAAGACTTATTGAAACTTTTATCTACCAGTGAAATTTTATTTTGTTGGTCACCCTAGGGCCAGTAATTTTGCTGCGTATTTTCTTGACGATTTAATTTGGTTCAAGTTACAGTATTGCTAATTTTTCTAATTCCATTTTCTTTATAATGAATAACCATCACTTTTGATTTAAAAATATCCTTTGAATATATTTCTTCAATTTTTTGCTTCATTGAAAGCATCGAAAAGCTTAAAATTATTCAATATTGATTTTTATTCTAACCGGTAAGTTTATCTTAACCGGTTTTGATTGCCTGACACCGGTTTAAATGTTTTTGTTTTGATTTTCGTCGACTTTCCTGTCAAATGTCGTAAAGATAAAAGATAAATTACAAAGATTTGGAAATACATAATATCCTAGCACCAGTCATCATAATTGACGTTATTGAAAACAATCAATAAGCAACTTGCAAAATGTACAGCAACTTTCAATCTGCAGAACCGGATTTGAGTGCAGGGATGGGCCTTCTTGCTCACCTGAATGTTGACGAACTTAAGGACATCGTAAACAACGACGGCAAATTTGAGGATCTGCTTAAAGACTTGAAACAGGTTTGTAGCAGAGAGAAGTTGTCTATAGTTTTTGCCTTAAAAACTCTTCGCAGGCAAAATTTAAATATTTTATAAAAATAATTTAAAACTTCAATTTAAACACTAATAAACAATTTTTTTTAGAACAAATCACATGAATCAGAGAAGGAGCTTTTACTGGCCAGCAATCGCTCACTTGCTGATTATAACCTGACCTACGAACCAAAGTTGCGAGAGGGCAAGGAACGATTCTTGAAGTTATCTGAACGGGCACAGGAGCTTTGTCAGAGCGTACAGGCCAAGTCTGCAGAGTTAGGTAAAAATTTGGCAGCATATTTATTGAAATTTTCAACTACATAAATTCCATTTTTTAAATACAGCTCAAAAGTCAGGAAACATGTCTTTGGACTCGGCTCTGGACATCTTAAAAGCAGCCGCAGCTGAGAGTGAAGAGGAGTCTGACGTATGAATGATTAAAAAAACTATTCTTAAGGAAACAAAAAAAACTCTAAATTAAATCTATAGGCGCTTGCAGAGCAGTACATGTCATCGGAGATTGAATTGGACCCTTTTATTGACCAGTTCTTGGTTCAGCGCAAGCAGATGCATCTCCGAAGGGTCAAGGCTGATAAAATGGCCGAAATTTTGGCATCGCCTTTGGAATCGAATCCTCCACCAATACCAGCGAGACTTCCTTATCCACTGCAATCCACACCTTATCCGGTTTCCAACAATAACATGCCTTATCCCCCTTTTTAAAATTTTAGGAATATCAAAATTATTCCATCATGTATAATTATAATTGTTTTTGAATTATAATTTTATTAAGAATTAATATTGTATAAATTATTAAACTATAAATTTGTTCTATGGAAATTGTAGTTTGCGTTCAAGTTATATATTTTTGCTTGATTTTCAAGGGAAAAATTATTTATACAATTTTAATTTTTATAAATTTGTTCTTGTATTAAGCAGATTTGCAGAAATTCAGTTTTTTATTTTGTTCCTGCCAGAGAAGAGCTAAGAAAAACTTCTTTTTCTGTTCTAATCATTGTTAGTTTTCTCTTGAGACAGAAAAAATCAGAAAAAATGGCAAAACGATACAGTTTATGTATCATACCAAAAAAAGTACTGATGAATTTCTTGGTTGGTAGAACTGACTCATTAATGCTACCAACCTCATTCACTCGATGAAAACAAAAAATTATTTCAAAACAAAGTTTTGAGAAAGGGGTCAACAGTTTTTCTCCACCTTCAGGGCAACTCAGGGTTTGCTAGATAATACAACATTATGTTCCTGGCGAGGCTGCTTGCCCATCCACGAGTGGCGGGCGCGGTCCGCGCGTTACCATTGCAGGAGGGTCTTGTTCTGCGAACGGTGTATATGAGCAACAATTTGGAGGTACCTGCACATTATGAAGGTGCCTCAGAACACCTATCCCATGTCCTCGGGTGCTCCAAGCAAGAAAGCTGCGCCATCCTCATGGAGTTCCCTGAGATCAAGAAGCTCAACACCAAGCACCTCAAAAACACCTGCCAGTACCTGACCAAAGATCTTGGCCTTGAGCCAAGGACGGTCCTCGACTTCCCTTGGCTGCTTCAGTACAGTAAACGTAAGGCTAAATTAATAAAACCCTGAAAATTTGTAATATGGCAATAATCTGAATTTTAGAGATGCTGAAGTCTCGGATGGATGTGCTGCTTGTGAAGACGCAGCGCACAGTGTCATCCATGGTGCCTCTGTTGCGGTTGGATGCAGAAATGCTGAAAAAGATGTTTGCCAAGTCTCAAAAGCTGGATGAAATTCAAGGCGTGGACAAAGAGAATCAAGACAGGATCACTTTCCTTAGTCGGAAACTTAAAGTATGTTTTCTGCCACTATATCAAATATATATTGTATTAATGAGAATAAATTTCAGTGCTCTGAGCTTGAAGCGTGCGACATTATTTCAAAAAATCATTATCTTCTAAACACTCCACTGGCCAGGATGGAAAAAGTCTTTGAAGTTTTATATGGTTTGTGTTTAACGCATTTCAAATTGTGTCGGAAGGTATATAACTAAATATTAAATTCTATTTTTAGAATATCAAATAGATCCCATTGATGTCATGAAAGATCCATGGATCCTTAGATACAATCCGGAGCAGATACGGAGTAGATTGGAAATCATAAAGTCTGTTGGAATGGACAAAGCTAAGCCTTGGCTTGCGAGGTCTTCTCACGTAGTTTTTAAAAGGTTTAATTTAAAACATATTTTTTATTTTCTTTCAAATTTTAACATAATATTTGCAGGAGTCTTGAAAAGTACAAGAGGAACGAGGAACTATTGGGTAAGTCCATGACAAAACTGGACTTCGTACAGAAGGTTTTCCAACTAAGCTCAAAGGAAGATGCTGTTGAAATGGCTCGGAAGTATCCTGTTCTGCTTAGATTGAGTGCAGTGAAGCTGAATTCTGGCATCGAGACACTGTTAAAAGCTGGCATTACTAGGCAAGAAATAGTAGCCGCACCAAGAGTACTTGCGTACAGCAGCAAATTGGTCATCAAGCGGCATGAACTGCTGCGTTCAAAATACAATGTAGAAAATCCAAACCTGAATGTCCTTGTCAGAAGCAGTTCGATGTTCCACGACTATCTGAAAAAGCTTGATGCTCAGATGGCAGAGAAAGAGCCGGATGATTTATAATTTACTTCAACTCGTGTCATCCTCCTTATTTAATTCAAATTATCCCAGATCTGAGCACGTGGGTTGTACATAAATATCTTATAAATACCGTGAAAACTTTGTGATTGTAAGAAATAAAATTGCCTCATTGTCAATTCTTTGTTTGTAACTTTGTATTCATCAGGGCAAGCATGAAATGATGAGTTGGAAATTATTAATAGTAGCAACAGATAACTTTTATTTCATGGCTTCAGTACAACTCACTTTTTGGTGTCCACTAGATTGATGAAAATAACAGCGTACAAGAATTGATTCATTGATCAACTGAAATCGGTTTCTGTAAATAGGTGTTTTGTTGGTTGCTTCTTTTTAACAATTTGCACACTACAAAGGCTTCGTTTATAACTTACTTGACAAGTCTTCATCCTTAATACTTAATTTTTTGCTTAACAAACAATCACTTTTAGCAGCAATAAAGCCGATAAACGAGCGAGCAAACATAATGAGACAAGAAGCATCTGGCTGATTAGGTAAGTACTGCTGATGAGAAACAAAATCGAGGAACAGCGACTGGTTACACGCTTGGAATTTTGCAGTTATCACACTGGAAATTATTTACACAGCACCCACTCATAAATTCAGAGAGAGATTAACAGTTAAAAATTCTTCATTCACTTAACAAATTTAATGATCATATAATATAATCTGAAAGTATCTGGAAACGATCGATATAGAGTTATTGAAGGAGATAAATATTATTATACTTGGCTGATAATTGGATCTAAATCTACACTCGGCTGGTTGATTATGTGGTTACAGGTGATTGTTCTTGAGTCGACGACAGAAAACAAAAAGTAAACAAAATAACACAATTGTCCGCTTGCATTCTAGAAAAAGTGTCCGAGACAAAAATATTCTCTATGGCTTGAACATAAAAAAGCTGTTTGATCTTGGTGACTGCTAGTAGATGTTGGGGCACTTGGACCAGTCTTGCTTTTCCTTGCACTCCCAGTACTTGCCCTGGTACATGTATCCGACCACACCGGTCACCTTTTCTGTCTCCTGCTTGAACCAAATCGGTTCGTACGGAGGGTATGGTCGACCTAAAAAATATATCAAGTTACAATCTGGACTTTAAATCAGCTGAAACTAAGAAGCAGAGTGCTTACTTGGACGTTCCGATTCTTTGCAAAAAGAAAAAAAGAACATTAAAGCAATCAGTATCAGTAAGCAAGATTCAAGAGCCTAAATACCTTCAGCAGTGGCTTTCTCAGCCTCAGCCTCCCGTTGCCTTCGAACACCTCGTTGCTTCTCCTCTAAGCGCAACTTGACAGAGTTTGCTTCGTCCCACTGACCGTCTTCCATAAGTCGCTGATCTGGACGCAGCCGACTGTCTGTTGGTGCGACACCTTCCTCAGGTTCGTTCAGTTGGCATGCTAGTTCCGTAAAGTTATAGTACTTTTCAGCATCAGGCCTAAGTAAAAGAGAATTAGATTAAAATCAACGTACGAAAAATAAATAAAACTTATGCTACACAGCTAATACATTCCATGCAATTGAATAAACTAAAATTCCCGGGTAAAAAATATTCAGTATTTTTTTTTTAAATAGTACCAAAGAAAACTTACGCAAGAGGTCTTCGTTTCCATGCCACCTTGTACGGCCCCGTCTTGAAGACAGGGTTTTCCGAGTTGCCTTGTGAACTAATAACCTCTGCAATCTCAATTTTGTTGTCCCAGGTGCCTTGAACGACCCATTTGACACTGCCGTTCTTGTCCATAACACAGCCTTTCACCTGAGAATAATTTTAAGTTACAAATTTCAGAATAAATGCAACTCAATAAACTGACCTTTCGCTGAACGTCTCTCGTGAAATAACTATAAGGAATATACTTGAGGTGACACTTGTCGCCAGTCTTGTGATTCACAATGTCCATGTCCCCGTGCTGGTCCACCCACAGTTTACCAACAATTATATTGTGCACTGTTGTCGTCACTTTCCGCCATGTATAGTGGTTGCCTGAGAAAAAAATATTACTCTTTGCATTGAAATTTCATTTTATTTTTAACATACCAGAACTGAGGAACTCGAGATGGGCAGTGCCGAGAGGCACAACCTGCAGGTATTTGCCACGGAACTTGGAAGCCATGGTGAATTCCTGCCAGCAGCGCCAGCCGAGGCCTTCCCCGTACTGAGCCACCATGGGCGGATGGTGCGACACCTGCTCGCAAACTGTGCGCCAGCCAAGGTCGGCCGTCCGGTCGCATTCGTAGGTTTCGCCCAGCAAGGGATTGAACGGTTTGCCTGTGCGGCAGCTGGTGGTGGCGTAGCTGGACACGGTGAACGCAGCCACCATGGCTAGCTGCTCACAGGAGTCGCTGCATTTGGCCGCCTTGTGCAGAATGTCTGCATACTCGTAATCTTCGGCTAGGCGTTGCAGCATAGACAGCGGTTCGGAAAAGTTCACCTGGAAAAAAAATTATATAGATGAAAATAAATTAACACTTCTAAGAGTTTTTAGAGGAAAATTGATAATTTATCACTAAAATTTATATTAATGTACAAAATTTAACCAACTTTGATAAGATTAATACACGGAAAAGAAACCAAACACAAGAAATTATCGATTTGTTGAAGAATTATAATTTGATGCCAACTTTACACTTACAGGCATTGGGATTTTGGTCAGCTCCTTGCCGATGCAGTTCTTCATGATGGACCACAGGTTGAGCGGGTAGTTGGGTTTTTCAGGCACTCTGGTGCGGCGAATCCGTTTTGGCGTGTGGCTTCCCATCTTTTGCACCAAAGAAGTGGGCGTGCTTGGCGCGCTGTCGATAACCTCGTCGCCACTTCCCTTCAGGCCACTCTGATGACCCTGACCGCCGGCCGACGCCTGTTGAAATATGAATAAAAAAACGTAAACAACCAATTTCGTCAGCAGTCGGCCCCGTTTTAACAGATATTTGTAAACAACGGAAAGATATTTCTGACAAAACTTTGGAGATTTCGTGCAAAAAATTGTTCAGCACAAAAAAAATGAGAAGCAACGTCAAGGTTTGCGATCGGGATTAAGTGAATAGGCCTAGTCGGAGGTCATTCCAATGAAGCTGAGCTGCAGCTATTTTTCGATTGCGATTTAAATCACGACACACAGCTGTTAGCGAGAATGAACTCAAGAAAGTAGTTTGCGTACAGACCACCGAGAAGGTCGTTTGCTGCAACACCTGCACCTAGTGATATTACTTCTTTTTATGTGTTTATCGACTGCGCTTGAAACAAAGTGCAATTTACAAACATTTAGGACTAGATAAGAATTTGA